TTGGCTGGTGCCAAGCAGGTCTGGCCCTGGGGCTGTTTCCAGACTTGAGAATGGGATGAATTCTAATGCATTTTTGAGCTCTGACTTGGGGATGGTGGTGGACTTCCTCCCACCATTCACTGTCCCCTCTGAAGATGAGGCCAGACACCCCACACAGAGCAGGTGATCAAGGGAGTACTGCCTGGGTCTGCTGGAAAAGTTGCTCAGGGTGTCCCATCCTGGGTGGCTGTGACTCACTTCAGGCCACATGGAAGGCATGTCCAAACAGGAACCTGAAGTTCGGCATCTGTGACCCTCAGGCAGCCTCAGTTTCCCTGTGTGCTATGGGTATCTGTGTGTCTGCTATGAGGGCTGTATGTAGGCATTGGCAGGTGCTGGGATCCCATAGACACTAGCAGCTCAAAACTCCATGTTGAGAGTGAGATAACAAGAGCGGAGGCTGGGGACAAAGGTGTCCCTCACTTGGGAACTTTACAGCTCCTTGGAGGGCAGCCCAGGACCTTAGGGGAGTCTAAGGGGATTAAATCAGAGGAACTAGGAGGTTCCCCAAAGCCTCATTAGAGATGGTCAGAGAAAGACATCACAGGGACCCCAGGGTTTTGGTTTGGGATGTGCACTGTTTTGCCCTGAGGGGGAGGTGAAGGTGTCTGGGCCCCATGAGGGAAGATTGTAGAATGCATTTAGGTGATGGGTCTGGACTTAGGTTACATCCTTCAACAATCCTCTGAGGTAGCAACCTGTTGACAGTCACATAGTGAGGGTGAGGTAGGCTAGGGAACCCAATACAGGTCTCTGTCACTCCACCCCATGATGCTGGCCAATTTGTGCCAGGATGGAGCAAGTGCCGGAAGGTCCCAGTGCCCCTCTGTGGAAGTTCTCAATTCAATTAAGCCAATTAAGGTCTGAAAGATGAAAGAGCCCAGAAATGGTACGTTCCCTGCCCTTTTGGTGCCTACAGGCCGTTCTCGGCAACCAGCCCAGGCCGGAAACTCTGTCAGGTCTGCAGAACTGATAGGCCTGGTCACTTCTGTTCTTGGCCATTTCAGTGATGCCTGTTGTCCTTATTCAAACTGACGGAGGCCATTTCTCAGGTTTACAGAGACCTAGAGAAAGAAGAGTATATGCTGTTTGCTCTCTATGGTAGCCAACAGTTACTCAAACATGGACCTCACCTTGACTGATGGCTCCTAGCCCATGGCCTATTAAGTTCATAAAGACAAGGTGGGTAAATGTGAGTGCCCATCCCAGTCTGCCTTACCCCCATTCACTCATTCCTCAGCCCTGTCCCCAGCTAGGGCTGACCACACAGTAGACTTCCTGCCGACTCAATAACCACCCATCTCAAAGAGCTAATGACTTGGAAAGTGGGAGAAACAGAGTCACCAAGTATTGGTGCTGAGCAGAGCAAAATAGGAATTGCCATGGGATTCTAAACTCTGCAGCAATCAATTTTGGCTGGAGTATGAACTGGCAGAGATATTTTGGAGAATGTTCCACTGGAATTGTGAGTAAAAATAAAAAAAAATTCATTGGAGGTCAGCAGGTGGGGATGGGAGAGAAAGATGTGTGCTCAAGTCTCAGAGCGGTGCAACTGTGGCAGAGTGAACAGTGGCCATAGGTAGGCTAAAGTGGGGCACAGTGAACAGGCAGGGCGTGGGGGCAGGAAAGGATCCAGAAGGTGCTTTGAAGGAAGTAGGCCCTTTGCTTGATGGAACTGGGGAATTGAAACAGGGAGCATGGCAGGACCAACATGTTTTGTTCTAGAATGATGGTGCCTGAACAGGGGAAGATGGTGACTCAGAGCAGCATGGTGACCAGTTGCCTGATAGGGCAGAATCTCTCTGGCTGCAGGGAGGGGACACAGCTTGACCTCATCAGAAGCTCTGGCCTTGCCTCTCTGTTTGGTGTCCTTACCATGAATCACCACTGGCCTAGTCAGCCACAGTGATGACAGTACACCAGTCAAGAGCTGCTCAAGGACCTGGTGTGGCTCTGCCTGGGCCGCTACTGCTGCTTAATTGAGGGCATGACCACACTGGGCAGCAGGGGCAGGGAGTGGAAGGATAGACATAGCCTGGTCAGAGGAGGGAGAAGTAGAAGACTGAGTAAAGGCCCCACACCTGGGTAACTGTGCCTGTGGCCTGCAAGTGCTTGCTCTGAAGAACAGGAATTTCTGTTGGGCTCATGCACCACCCAAGAGCCCACCCACTCAATATACCATTCACTCTGTCCCCTGCCCCGTGGTCCTGTAGGTACTCTACAACCCCCTCTACTCCTCCAAGTGTGTGAAGAGGCTGAAAAAATGAATGCACTCCAAAGGAACAAAATGATCCATCTTTCCTTTTAGAAACTGCCCATGTAGTGTCCCTAGGCAGCTCAGTTGGGGACATTGGCTGGAGCCTCCAATACACATGGGCCCCATTGTTTGGGTCTCTCACAGCAGCCCTTCCTGCCTGGGGCCTAGGAAGCTAGCTCCGGGATTTTGTATTGGTGTAAGCCAGTGCCTATGTGGATGAACCAGACCTGTCTATTCCTCAGTCTAGCAGCCAGCAGGCTGGAGGTGGCAGGGATGGGGAACAGCCCAAACCTTACAGATGCTGTGTACTAAGGTTGTATGGGGCACCTGGAACTCAGCTCAGAGAAGGGAGAGGAAAAGGCACACCTGGCAGACAGAGGCATTGTCCTAAGCCAAGTTCCAGGGCAGGGGTAGGTGGAGGCAACCTGAAGACAAGGAGTGCAGGTATCAGTTGAAAGCAGCCATCGCTGCCTTGAGCTGTCAGAGGCAGCAGATCCAGCTTCCTCTGGCACAGCAATTTCCCTTGGTCAAACCCTAGTTTCCTTCACTGACAAAAAGGAGAGTGGTTAGTGCCACCACCTCCTAGGTGGCTGGGGGTGTTCACAGGGCACTCCCGGGAAGAGCCCACCAGGGGCTGCCTGGCTTCCTGTACTCACATTGCTTGCCCTGGATATTCTTGAGCTCAGGGCTCACCTCTGCTGCTCAGTCAAGCAGAAGGGCCTCAGCCCCTCCCGCCACCCTTCCACCTCTCCTCTTTGTTTTGCCTCTTTCCAATTTTTTCTCCCACATGTCCCTTCCTGAAACTCTGTGGCTCTTGGCTCTTGAGCCTGACCTTATCTCTGTCACCCTGCTTGTTATGTGCCTACAATACAGAGAAGGAATTAGCTTAGTCTTGTAGACCCTCTGCCCCCACTTACACATGCCCTTGCTGGGCACACATAGATGCTCAGTAAATATTCGTCAGACGATTGGCTGGAGGAATGGGTGGGAAAGAGATGTGTGGGAGAGGGGGAGGATGGTGCAGGCATGTGTCAGTCATGTTCCCACATCATCCGGAAGTGAAGGCTTCTCCTCATGGCAAGTGTCTAGAAAGTTAACACCAGGTGTCCAAACTTTTCAGTTGGGGATCACTTGGGATAGGCATTTTCTGAAGCAGATCCCCTGACCTATGGCTTCTTTTGGATTTCTCTTGTATGGGCTGGGGCACATGTTGGAATGGCTCATTGTTTCCCAGAAACTCTGGTCTTCTCCCCTGAGGGCTGTGGTACACCACATAGGGGCTAGTAGGATCATAGGATTGTAGGATGGAGCCTGCTGGGCTCTAAGAGGCAGGAGCTGTCCTGAGAGCAAAGGCCATGAACTTGCCCCACTCCCTTGCCTTCTCAAGGGCCTTTTTGCCTGTTTTTCAGGGGTCTGTCATCCTGGGTGGTTCTAGATCAGAAAACTGGAGCTTCCCCAAAGGTGAGGTCTGGCCCAGCTGAACCTTGTCACCAGGGGGGGCTCTGCTGATGGCAAGGCCAAGGCCATGTACACTGGACTAGTTCAGTTCCAGGAGGATGTATCACATGATCTTGGGGGATGCACCCTCTTATGTGCAGACTTCTAGGAAGAAGATATAGGAAAAGTGAAGTCAGGGAGGGCTGTGACCCAGCCGAGGAAGGGGGCAAGCCCAGGACAGCCCAGTGTTCTCACCAGCAGTTCCTTGGCTGAGGAGAGGGGCACTGGTGTGTAGGGGACAGTATGAGGGATGACAGCCTCATGCTGTTCTCAAAGGGGGAAATGGTGTGCAGCCTGGCAGTGGCCTGGCTGCTTTGAGTGTGGAAGACCCCAGCTCCTTACTGTGTCCTCAGGAGGGAAGCGTGTTGGATGAGTATGGATAGCACTGTGCTGGGGGCAGGGTGTTGGCAGTCACCAGTGACCTGTGGCTGCTCTGGCCTTTTTCCCATGTGCCTTTTCCTGGTCACTTCCCCTTTACTTCCTTTATCCCTTCCCTCTCTCTCTCCCTTCCCTTCTCCCACCCTCTCTCTCTCCTTCCCCCTCATCTTCCCTCTCTGCTCCCTCCCTCTGGGCCTCCTCCTTTCATCCCTCCTGGCCCCCAGGTACCCTCAGGGCTACAGAAATACCTTGTGCACTAAGCCTTGACCTCGAGCCCAGCTGTCCCCGTCCATGGCTGGGCCTACTCTCAGGAGCCTTGCACAGCCCCAGGCCTGAAACTGAGTCACTGAGGCTGCACCAGAAGACCACCGGGATTTATAGCATGCCAGCTGCACCGGGCGAGTCTTAATCAGGCAAGAGCAGGGAGTGAGATGGGGGGACAGGCAAGGAGTTGACCATGGGGCACAAATAACTTACCCATACTAGGCAGGACTGGCCACTGTCAATCCCAATTCACTGCCTCAGATGGGTTTCCAAATGGATTTGGGGACAACAACAGCCTCTGTGCCCCGGCTGGCCAGTGCTGTTGTCAGGAAGGTCCCTGACAGGAGGCACTGACACTTCTTCCATCCTTACCTGGGCAAGCCCTCCCAGCTCTGGGTGCTCACAGTGGGCAGAACTGGGGGTGGCCTGGTGGGTGGGGCCTTGCAGGGCATGAGGGTCCCTGATGCAGCCTGGCTTATACTGAGTAAAGATTTATAGAGTATGTTCTGGAAGACTGGACCTTAGTTCTGTCTCAACCCTTGGCTTCTTCTCACCTCCTCCCCAGGTGTCCACACTAAACCATTTTCCCACCATCACCACACCTTGCCTGGCCACTGGGACTGCAGGTGGCCACCTATTCCCATCTGTGGCTGAGCTGAGGCTACTTCTGTGAGAAGGCCCGACAGATAGGATGGGTGATATGGCCAACAGCTCCATCGAATTCCACCCCAAGCCCCAGCAGCAGCGGGAGGCCCCCCATGCGGGCGGCTTTGGGTGCACATTGGCTGAGCTGCGCACCCTCATGGAGCTCCGAGGGGCTGAGGCACTACAGAAGATCCAGGAGGCCTACGGAGATGTCAGTGGGCTTTGCAGGAGGCTGAAGACCTCACCCACAGAGGGTAAGTCCCTCTGGCTGCGTGGGGCCACAGGGGAGACTGGGGACACAGGGCCCACTTACTCCTGAGGATGTGGTCAAGGGATCCATGTGCCCCTGCAGCACTTCCTAGGGGGGATCTGTGGAGGGGAGGCCCAGGTGACCCTTGAGGAAACCAAGACCAGGACCCTGAAAGTGCCCTCCTCTTGAGCAGGAGACACTGTGCAGGAGGTGCTGTTGTCCTTGAGTAACCTGAGTCCTAATGTGTGCGTGTGGCCTCACCCCCTCATCTACAACCCCGAATCAGCTCTTCTCCACCTTGTAGAGTAAAAGGGACAGATAAGAACAGTATGAGGTGTACACACACAGGCCAAGGGCCCCAAACTGCATCCCAGAAAATCCCTTCCAAGGAATGAGGCAGGGCTAGGTGGCTCCTAGTTGATAGAGAAGGAAACACAGTCCCTAACTGCATTTTGGAGGATTCCCTGTGTGCTCATCTCTAATGTTCAGTTAAGGAAGCCAGAATAGGTGGGAGGGGTGTAGGGTACAAGTCTTCTGGGACTGAGGTTGCAAGGGGATTCACCCTGGGAGAGAGGAATGGCCTAAGGATGGCACAGGGCTATTGGAGTCTGGTGGGAAGGGATGGCCAAAGCTAGGGCACAGTAGGCCCATAATGCTGATTGGAAGTGACAGTGGTCACAGGCAGTCCCAGAGAGGCAGTGCCACAGTGAGCCTCTAGGAAGCCTAGTGAGAATCCTCTAGAAGAGTCTGGGATAGAGACCTGACTGCCATCTTGGAACCCCACCTCCCTTTGCGGGAGGCAAAGCTCTGTCATTCCCTGTGTGGCCTGCCTCAGCCCTGCTGGGGTCTGCCACGAGGCAGGGACCACCCAGGAGCCAGGCACAGCCCCATATTCCAGGAGCTGGAGCACTTTCTGGTCCAGCTGGCACTGGGCTGGCAGGGTTGCCAGGGCTAACCCAGCCCAATGCCAGGCCTGCTCCCCAGCCAGCACTGATTGATTTCATCAGCTGCCTGTCTCAGTGGCGGCACCTTGGCCCACCCAGTGCTGCTATCCCTGGCTGTCACCCTGGGTTCCTCCTACTTTCTGGCACCCCCGTCCCATCCATCACCAGGCCCTGCCCACTCTAGTTTATAAATCAATCCCTTGATGCATTCCCTCCTGACCATTGCCTCTACTCTGGTCTAGGCATGGCCCATCACTTCCAGCCTCCTTGCTCTGCCCTCACCCCCCACTCAGACTTTAGGGCACAAATAGGATCCTGGTGCTGTGATCTCACCCTAGCTGGGCTTCAGAGAGCTCACTCTGTCTTCATGGGCCCAGGGGAAAAGCAGAGGTAGAAGGAAGGAAGCCCATAGGGCAGGTGAGGAATTCCATGGTGGAGTAGCCTCCCTGGGCCACCTAGGTCTCCCTGTACCCATGGACACCCTGTCCAGCCTACCGCACGCACCAGCCTGGAGCAGCATGCTATCAGGGCAGATGGCTGGGCTCTGTGCCAAAGGATCTCATTCCTTCCCTCCTCCTTGCCCACCCCCCTGAGGACTTGGGGCCTCAGAGGAGGCCAGAGTGGAGGGCCATTTAGCCACAAGGGCTCTGGCCTCTCCCAGATCAAAGGAAGCAGATGGGCTTCAGCTGGCAGCTCTTCCCTCTGCCCGTCAGGCCTTGTTAAATATTTAAAATGTCAAGGCCCCTGGGAACCTTCCTGATTCTGCCACAGAGCTCAGGAACTTGCCTGGTGTCTGAGGAAGGGGTGGGTGTAAAGAAGGGCAGGTGTGCAGGTGGGTGGCCCAGCCCCTGACATGCTTCTGAGCACCTGTGTCCCTGTAGCCCCAATGGAGGGAGCCACGAGGCCTGGCTCTTCTTCCTGCAGAATGAAGCAGCCTGAGAACCAGCCCCTCCTCACAAGCTGCTCAGGCTTCAGCTGTCTGATGCTAGGAGCAGGTGTCTCTCACTCCCCTTGTCCCCTCAGCCAGGCCATGAGCCACAGGAAAGCATGAAGTTTTCAGTAGGCCTACTGGATTGGCCAAAAGTTCTCACCCAGGCTCAACAGCTCATTCCAAATCAGAGACAGTGGCCTGAGCTGTAGGAGGGCTGGCTCCACATCAACCCCCTGGCAAGGTGGGAAGATGTGGGGGTGCCAGGAGGGGCTTTATGGGGAGGAGGGAGGCCAGATAGGTTTGTGGAATGTTGGGGGAGAGGGATTGTGACTACTGGCAATCAGCACATCAATCCACTGCCTTCTCAGTCTTTGTAGAGATCCAAGGGGCTTCCAGAACCTGTCCTGAAGAAAGCTGCTCATGTTTGTCAGAGAACCTCAGTGATAGACTTTGTAGGGGTACTTGGGCCCCATGCCCTCCCCTGTCTGGTCTCCACAGGCAGTCATGGGAAGGAGGGGGCAGATTAGCTGAGAGCCAACACGATGTGGTCCTAATCCAATTCTGATGGCATCTGGCCTCTGCTCTGGGCAGACGGCCCATCTGTGTCCATGCCAACCAGCAGGCCCCTGCCCCCATGCCCTGGACCCAGGCTGCCCTAGGGCCTGCTGGGCAGGCATGTGCTCAGAACCAGAGGGGCCTCAGCTGCCTCCACCCCCAACCACAATGAGTATTGTGGCGGCAGCAGCAGCTGTTAGGACCCCCAATCCCACAGGAAAGGGGCCAGTCTGAGGGCAGCTGCTGGTTTCAGGCAATGGGAGAGAATTGCTGCAGTAGCAAAGGCAAATCAAGGCCAAGGGCAAGGTGGGGGAAGGGGAAGGGACCTCCAGGAAAGGGGCTCAAGGGCCCACTGCCCTTGGGGACAATCCAGGCATGTGCATCAGGACAGCAGGAGACAGACTCACATGGTGCTTTGGGGACCTACAGGCTTCGGGGGACTTTGGTCTCACTCTGGAAGCTCCAGGCCAGGAGCAGTAGAAACCCCAGGTATGTGGGAGGCTCCTGCTGCCTTCCTGGGGCATCTCTCATAGTTCCTATAGGTAAAGAAGATAAGGCCCGTCCAGAGTGATGGACATGTCCCTCAGCTAAATCCCTGGCCTCAGTCCCCTACCCTACCCAGTCCCCTATCCTGCCACCACAGAAGCTGAGGTCTGGATTTTCTCCCAGACGCCCTACTGGAGAAGCTGCAAGCCTTCTGAAAGAGGCCTTTGGCCCTGGCAGAAATCTGAGCCACCAGCTGGGCCCAGGCGCCATGAGGCCATGAGAAGAAAGGCAGGGACAGCTGTGGCCCTTCTGAGTGGGAAGGACACTGTGTGGCCATCACCTAGCTGGGTGGACGTGCCAAGGCTGTGTAGGCTGCGGCTTTTGCTCTTGTTGGCCCTTCCATCTCGAATGGGCCTCACCCTGCCCCTTTGCAGAAGCCCCATCGTCAGCACTTCTTGTTCTCGAGTCATCTGGGGCTGAGCCTTCCTAAGCTCACTGCCCAGTGAGGGCCCCATGGACCGGATGGCCCTTCTGCTCACCTCCTGTCCATGCAGCAGGTGGCAGGAGTTAACGCCAGACACTCAGGGCCAGGAGCCATAAGCTGCTGTCTGTCCACCAGGTGTCAGTGTGGGGTTGGGCATTGGGGGTGCAGCACTAAGGATTTGTGGGAACTCAAGGAGGGGCTGGATCAGCCTGGACTGAGAATCCTGAGGGCTAAAGGTAGGTGGTTAAATCATCTTACCTGCCTACCTCTGAATAGGTGTGCAGGCTCAGAGGCCCAGGGCTTGGATGCCAAGCCTAAATGGGCCCAAGGAGACTTGTGTCTCCCAGCCCACAAGAACTTGCTCAGGGTGTGGAGGTAGCCTGAAGGGCTCTAGAGCCATGAGTGGAGTACCTCTGAGCCCCTGGGCCTACATCAATTAAGGAGCTTCAGCTGCTTAGGACTGAAGGGGTCCCCCACCAGAACTGGTTCCCTCCCCTCAGTGTCCTTTGCCTGCTGATAATGTGCCATTATCACGAATAACTGATGATCTCCCAGCATCCCCACCTCTTGTCTTTAGGGATGATGGATGACAATTGGACTAGGAAAGGTAGCTGTCATTGTGAAGCCAAGGCCAATGGTGGGGCTCCTAAGAAAACTAACTGTGGCTCTGCCCATAATTCAAGTCTCCATGTGTGCACACAGGCTCCCAGTTCTAGAGGAGGCAGTGGGAGTCCACGTCCTACCCTTTAACCTGGACTTAAGGTTGGCACTACAGTCAGGCTCTGGGAGAGGTGTCCTGGAAGCTCAACATCTGGGAGGCTCCCTCAACCTGACCTGGCCTTCAGTCAAGAACTCTGACTTGGAGCTGGGGTTGTGGCTCAGTGGCAGAGCGGTTGCCTGGCATATGTGGGGCACTGGGTTCGATTCTCAGCACTGCATATAAATAAATAGACAAAATAAAGGCCCCTTTTAAAAAAAAAAAAGGAATCTCTTTAAAAAAAAAAAAGAACTCTGACTCATGGGCTCAGGCCCCTTTTCATCTCCACCCTCGTCTGCCTCATTGAGACTGTGATGGGCAGGGCACCTTCCTCCCAAATGATGAGAAGCTCCCCACCCATCCCAGCCCAGGGGCCCAGGTCCCCAGGCATGGCTGAGCATATGATGCTGCCCACCATAGTGAGGTCAAGCAAGGCTTTACCACTGGGACTCTGGCTTTGCTTCTCCCTAGTCCACCCTGTCCCTCAACCTGGTTTTCTGGGTCTCTCTCTTCATAAGCCACTATTGGTCCCCCTGTCTGCACCCAAGAACTTGCATCTCCCACTAGTTCTCATATTCCCCCTCTCTGTTCCTTTCCTAAGAAACTTCTGGAAATCAGGCTTCCACTCCCTGTTTCCAGTGGCTGCTCTGTCCTCCTCAGCAGTTGTGATTCCAGAGATTCCCATATCCCTGGGCCCTGGATGTGCATGTGCTCCTGGTTGCCTCCATGCCCTGCTCCCTTTGCAAGTTAGGCTGTGAGACCTTACATTCTCTGGGACCAGCAGACCATGGGAGTAGGGTTATGGCCAAGGCCATTGGCTTTTCTGCTCTTAGGATGTCCATGTCCCAAAAGCACATTTTCATCTTATAGACCTATGTGGGGCCCAGTGACTAGTCTGCCCTGAAGAAGATAGGGAATCCATGTTTGGAGCTAGAGAGATCTTTCCTGACAGGAAGAAAGCCCTACTTCAGAAAGGGTTCTGGTAACTTCTTTGACATCCAGTTGAAACCAGGCTAATGTCACCCACACCCCTTTGACTGGTAACCTTCCCATAAACCCACTGAAGCTATCTGGATGCTTACTTTTCCTGGGGAGCTGCTTGCTGCTCTCTTATTCCTGTTTCTGGGAAACCCTGGTCCATACTAGGCCCTAATGGGCCCCTCTGTGCTTTTCACTTGTTGGGCATTAACCATCAGTTTCTTGCAAAGCCCCACTCAGAGACATTTTGGATGGAGCACAAAACAGCACAGGTGCCCATTTACTCATGTGTGTATCAGGAGGAAGCTGTAGCCCCTCTACCTGGCCCAGCATTCCTTCCTTAGACTGGGTTCTCTCAAGCTAGCTGTGGAGAGCCACACACTCACTCCCACGTGCTTGGCCCCCAAGGTCTGCAGAAAGGCTCATGGTGCCATGTCTGCACAGTTCCTGCCTTCTACAACTGTAGAGTTTAGAGGGAGAGGCAGCCCAGCCAGAGACCCCCAAAGCAGCAGGTCAGGCAGGGCCTCTTGGGGGTTCCTAGGACTAAAGGTGGCCTTCTCATCCTTTCCCTCTGTGTTTCTGCTGCCCTCCTGGGACACTGTGCAGGACTGGCGGACAGCACCAACGACTTGGAGAAGCGCAGGCAGATCTATGGGCAGAACTTTATCCCTCCCAAGCAGCCCAAGACGTTCTTGCAGCTGGTGTGGGAGGCCCTGCAGGATGTGACCCTCATCATCCTGGAGGTGGCCGCCATCGTCTCCCTGGGCCTCTCCTTCTATGCACCCCCTGGAGAGGAGAGTGAAGGTGAGGGGAAGGGCTCTGGGCTGGAAGGAGTGGAGGCAGGGTCCTAAGACGTCCCACCTGGGCTTGGCTCTGTAACTTCTTTTCCTCTTCCCTTCTCTCCTTGGGCAAAGCCTGTGGGAATGTATCCGGTGGGGCAGAAGATGAGGGGGAGGCTGAGGCTGGCTGGATCGAAGGGGCTGCCATCCTGCTGTCTGTCATCTGTGTGGTGCTTGTCACGGCCTTTAATGACTGGAGCAAGGAGAAGCAGTTTCGAGGCCTGCAGAGCCGCATTGAGCAGGAGCAGAAGTTCACAGTCATCCGGAATGGGCAGCTCCTCCAGGTCCCTGTGGCTGCACTGGTGGTGGGGGACATCGCTCAGGTCAAGTATGGTGAGTGTGCCAATCTTCACCCACCCCACCAAGGAAGCCTGACTCCCATTTGCAAGAAGCATGGGCCACAGGACACCCCCAGTGCAGGCTGTCCCCAGTACACAGGTGCTTTCACCCACAGGGGGCGTGAGGCAGCATGGAAAGGGAGTATTAGAGATGCAATCACACCCCAAAAAGCAGACTGTCTCCACATCCCCCCACTACTGCATGAGGGAAATGTTGACCCTGTCCACTGCAAGCTGGACAACATGGCTAGTTGTGGGTGGTTCCTTCCCCCACAAAGGAGGAGACTGAAAGAAGAGGGATTTTGACTCCCTTGACCACCTGGCCCATCATGTCTAGAGGGACCTTCCCTGGGAGAGCCGGGAGGAGGTGGTGGGGAGAAAGGTCCCCTAGACCCACAGCCTCTGGTTCTGGCTCGGGGCGGACCTGTAGGAGACCTGCTGCCTGCCGATGGCGTGCTCATCCAGGGCAACGACCTGAAGATCGATGAGAGCTCTCTGACAGGCGAGTCGGATCATGTGCGCAAGTCAGCTGATAAAGACCCTATGCTGCTTTCAGGTAAGGGCTGCCTTCCCAACCAGCCCACTGAAGTCAGCAGATTGGAAGCCATTTGGCCCAATATCCCCATTGAAGCCATTTGCCAGACTCACCTCAAGGAGGGCGATTTCCCTAAATAGGTTTTCCAGTTCGGGGGTCTGAGGACTGCACCCATCACAAAGCCAGAGTGGGCCACTGGAGAACTGATGGTGGTACCTACAGCCACAGGGCTCCAAAAGACCCTTGGTAGTCCTGAATGGGGAGGAAATTTCATGGGGATCAAAGTAGCACTTCTCCCAAATCTAGACCTTCAAGGAGATCCAAAAGAGGCAAGTGTTCCTTTTCCAGAAGGTTCTGACTTAGCCTAGCATTTATCCCAAGGGGAAATCCAGTGTGAAACTGGACAGAAAGGCCAGAGCCCCCTGGTCAGAGCCCCCTGTGAATGGCTCACCCATGTTTCTGCCAAGTACCTACCCCTCTGGGCCTATGGGTTTCCTCTGAGCCACCCGAGGATTTGGGTCAATACAGCTGTAGCAGCCTCTGAATGATGAGTTCTTGCTTCTGGGATTCCTTGGGAACCCTCATGTAGGCACTGAACATGTCTCCCACCAGGTGGTGCAAATCTCTGTCTCAGTCTCTCTGTGTTGCTGTGTTAGGCACTCATGTCATGGAAGGTTCTGGAAGAATGGTGGTAACGGCCGTTGGTGTAAACTCCCAGACAGGCATTATCTTTACCTTGCTTGGAGCTGGTGGAGAGGAGGAGGAGAAAAAAGATAAGAAAGGTAAGGCAACCCTGACTTCTAGTTTCTAGTGCTGACAGGGACAGTGGGACACTGCTCTTCTTCTTTGTCTGCCTATCAGCAGTCTCCTGCTGGCCAGTCCCAGGCTCCCAGGAGATCCAGCCCTCAAAGGATGACAGGCTATGTCCTCTCTTCTGATTTTTCTTGGCAATCCTTCTTCTAGGGTTTTGTCCCCAAAAGTCAGCAGGCCAGGGGCCCCTCCAAATCTGTATAAGGGCAGCTTCCCTGGAAGGGCTGCTTTCTGAAGGCTTTGGAAGGCGCTGCCTGGACAGGAATGAGGTCAGAGGGATACAGGGCTAGACTCGTTGGCTTCACTGGATGCTCTAGGAGCTTAATGACCACCCTCAGGGTGCTCAGCCCTTATACCCTTAACAGTGAATACACAATAAAATGCCAAGAATTGGGGGTCAATACAACAGCCAGGGAAACAGGGGTCATGAACTCAGAGGTGGAGGACTCTTAAGCACAGCAAAGAAGACATAGTAGAAAGGATAGGATTTCTGAAAGAACATTCAGGGTCACAGGATGCTGGGATGGGATAGGGGCAGGACCAGATCACAATGGGTGATGGCCCTTGCCCTAGGGACAGCAGTGTCAAAGGACAAATAACTTCAGAGAGCTCAGCTCCAAAGTGGTCGTGTCCTCCCTAGCACAGAGCTAGTCTGCTGCCCTGCAAGCGTGGCCAGAGTCTCCTTTGGTCCTCAGTCTAGGGCCTATAAGCTATGGAGTTGACCTCTATACTCCCTGACCCCCTGGATCTTGGCACTATGGATCAGGCTATTCCCTTCTGTAACTCTGACCCACATCTTTTTATCACTCCCTTGGTTCTGGCCTGTATTCACCCTCAGGCCTCTCCTGTAGCCCAAACCAAGTGGGGAATGGAGATTTCTAGATTGGTGCCTCCCAGCTGAGAGAAGCCACCTGGGCCCATCTACAAGTACAAAGGACCTGCACTGTGGGGAGAACTCTGCTTCCTGTGGGAAGCTCCAGCAGGAATCTGGGGCCAATGACCTGGAGAAGGGATGATTAGTCTTAGGCTGCCAGAGCCAAGAAAGCAGGTGAGACAGGTCAACATAAGGAAGAATGCTCTATCAGCCTAGTCGTGGGCCACCTCTTGAAGCTCTCTGCTCATGGAGGCAGTGACAGAGGAGCAGCATGAGCTGCAGTGGCCTGAAAGCTTTCATGGACCATCTCCTGGCCACCTGGGCCTGTGTGTCCCATGTGGGCACCTCCCTGCTGCTACCAGGCCAGGCCTTCCCTCCACCACCTCATGTTTGCTGTACTGAGGCCCCTATCCCTGTAAAGCTAGTTCAGAGTCCTCCCCTAGTGAGAAGCCTAAGGGTGCACAGGCAGGTAGTGAGCCCAGGCCTCATCTGGTCTGGGCTGGCCGAGGCTGGAGTCCCTAGACCTTTCTATGTAGAAGAACAATTGACTCTGCCTTGTGGCCTCTTGGTCCCAGCTGATTAGCAGGGAGTCCCTTTCCACATAGGGCCACCTTCCCCCTGCTAAGGTTCTCTCCCTTGGGCTATTGGAACATATATTTCCTAGTGTCCCCTGTGGTTCCTTTGCAGAATCCTGGCCTCTTGCTCTGTCCCTTAAATGTTGGTGTCCTTCACTGCTGGGTCCTAGGCTCTTCCTCTTTGAACATAAACAGACCCCCTCCAACCCCTACCAGGACCCTTTCTCCCACTCTCTTCAGCACCAATAGGCTGTGCAACTTAGTGGCCAGAGCTTCTTTGAGGAGGGGTACCCTGATGGGCCCTAAGGGGGAGCAGCAGCCACCATGCCCAATGTCTCCCCCCTCCTTGCCTCATTGACTCCCTATGAGTCAATCAGTCTGTTGGGCATACTCCAAAAGTGCCCCCTGTCCACTTGCTGCCATTTGCCTTTTTAAAAATATTTATTTTTTAGTTGTAGTTGGACACAATACCTTTATTTTGTTTATTTATTCTTATGTGGTCCAGAGGATCAAACTGAGGGCCTTGCACATGATAGGCAAGCACTCTACTGCTGAGCCACAACCCCAGCCCTGCCCTATAGTCTCTCCTTCCTTTGGGCCCTCACAACCCCAGGGCTTCCAGCAGCGCCTGCCCTTGTTGTGCTGTGTTATCATCTTACTGTCATCCTATGTCTATGGGTGTCTCTTTCCCCTCCACCTCAAATATCTCCCTTACCTCTGAACTATCCTCAGCCTCCACAGGAGCCCTGGACAGAGGCCCCAATCTATGTTCCACCTCTGGATAGAAGGAGGATCTTGCCATGCTTTTTGGGGATCCCAGATCCCAATCCCCCTGCCTGGGAGCCACCTAGCACCTTGTCTGTGTCCCTGGATCCCCAATGACATGAGCTATTTTGTGGTGACTGATAGATCAAGTCCCTCCTGCCCTGGTCAGTTCCCCTCTGGATTGGGGCCAGCGTAGGCATGGCCTCCAGGATAGTCCTTCTAACTGCCACCTACCTCATGCAGCCCTCAGGTTGGTCAGCACTGTGGAAAGGCCCTTCTCAAGACAGCAGTCCTTTCAGAAACTTCCCACTGCTCTCCCATGTGACTCAGGAATCATCCAGTCTGCCTTCAAGGCTTCACTGTATGCCTGGAGTCAAGGCCCAGTGGGAAGCCCTGGCCCTGGGTTTTGTGTGGTAACCACATTCTGGGAGGTGGTGGCAGAATGAGCCTGGAAAGTACAAGGTATGGAGAAGGTCTCTCTGTGGGCAGCATCAGGGCCACCAGCAATTAGGCGCATCCTCCTCCCGCCCATCCCATGTGGTTCCAGGCTGCACTGTCTGTGCTCCAGCTCTGCCTACTGTCCTGTGCATGTCTGTTTGTCTTGGCCATATGGATGTTCTCAAGTCTCCGTGTCTGTCATTCCTCTTCCATTGTAGGAAAGCAGCAAGATGGGGCGATGGACAGTAGCCAGACCAGAGGTAATGTGTACTCAGTGCTGCTAAGGGCAGCTGAGGAGCCTGGGGGTTGGGGCTGGGTAGAGTGGGTTTGCGGGAGGGGCCACCCACCAATGGAGCAAGAGCAGCACCAAGAGACCAGGTGAGTGAATTCAATGGTCCTGCCCTGGCCTGAGAATGGAGGAGCACCCCCTAGGGCTGCTCTGAGCCTCCCATCCATGGACACTTCTGGAAGCCCAGACCAACCACCTAGATGTTGGCTAGCAGACACCTGAGCTATTGGCCATTATGCACCTGAGATCTGTGCATAAAGATAATCTGTGATAGGCACCCTGGGTCCTCTGGCCAGAGAAGGAACCTGATATACAGAGAAGTTGACTTTCCCAAAGCTCTGGTCCTGGTCCTATGGGTTTCCCATGTCAGCTTCCTTCTGACTGACCCTGTGGGCCAGGGTGACAGAGCAACCCTCCAATGGGCAGAGGCCCAGCTCTCCTCTAAGCCCTGAGTCCCTAGTGGGCTCTGGCACTCTGTGGCTGGTACGTGCCTGGTTGTGAGACACTGGAAGAAGTAGCTGGACAGCAGATGGCATCCCAAGGAGGAGAAGCAATGGCAGGTCAAATCAGCAGTCAGTTCTGGGTATTGGAAGTGTGACCTCAGGAAGGTCGTGGTACAAGAGATGGACCTTGTCGAGGAAGTATGGTGTCTACTCACCCAGAGACCTAGGGACTGAGACTGGATCAGATAAGCCAACTAGAGCTGAAAGGATGATTGAAGTTGGGAGGAAATTTGGGGAAGGGCTATGGGAGCATGACAGTAGTTGGGGTACAAGGATAGAAGTGGCCCAGCTGGGCAGGACTTGGCATATCCCTGAGGCTACTGAGAGGAAGGTGCTATGGTGAGTGGCCTTGGGCTAGAAGGTGGGGAGGGGGGATACAGAGGTGATGGCTGTATGCAAAGAGCCCCATTGCATGGGAGACAGAGTGATGGGGGATAAAGACAAGTAGGGAACCCCCAATTGCTGGGTCAGTTAGCCCCTCCCTGCGGAAGAGTGAAGGTAGCAGGTAGAGTAGACATGATTACTTTGGGAATGCAGCTGAAGACCCTGGAGCTCAGGGAGTGCGTGAGGCCAGAACTTGGCAGAGAGGAAAATGAGGAGCCCCGGGGTGGGGACATACTACCACCATATCAAGTACAGCAAGGATGAGGAAGGAGGGGGAGGGGAAGGGGAGTCCTCTGCTCCAGCAGGGAGGCAGGGAGGCAGTTGGAGGGTCAGAAAAAGCTTGCCTACTGCAGCCCAGGGAGCATACGAGTGGGAGTAGACAGACTGAGCAGGGGTGGCTGGGATAGGAGGAGGGTCCACCAGGGCCCCTAAGCCTCCCAGTGGAGCAGGGAGGTGGCTTGTACACCAGTGAGCAGATGAGTCAACCTCAGGTTCTGGAATATTCCTTGGACCACAGACCTCTCCTCAGGTATTGAGATTTGGGGCATTCCAGGACTGGCCACCTGTCTGTGTGCCCAAGTACCTTGTTCTTGTGTCTGTCCTCCCTTTCCATGAGAGAACCATTTCTCTCTCCTACCTAGCACAGTGCTGGAGCTGTCCAGCCACCTTAGGAGGGTCTGACCTTAGGCAGCAATATGGGGGAGGTCAATAGACTCCCTTTTGCCATGTTAAGCTTGGGATTATATAAAAGAACCCACAGTGAATTTCATTTCATTTTGTATGGTATGGCATGTCTTCCCCTGTGATAGCCCCTTGTAGCTCTTTCATCCTGGCTGTGCCCTAACCTTGGCCATGGTATTCCTCTGTGTGCAGCTAAAAAGCAGGATGGGGCAGTTGCCATGGAAATGCAGCCCCTGAAGAGCGCAGAGGGTGGGGAGATGGAGGAGCGAGAGAAGAAGAAAGCCAACGTGCCCAAGAAGGAGAAGTCAGTTCTACAGGGGAAGCTCACAAAACTGGCTGTGCAGATTGGAAAAGCAGGTAGGGACAGCCAGAGGTGGCAGGCCAGGGGCCACCAATCATGCATAAGGGACCCTGGGATCCTGGAGATGGAAACATGACATGTAGAATCAGGATGAAGAGATATTGCAGGTGGTATGGGCCAGGCAGCCAGAGGCCAGCTAGAGCCATCAGGGTCTGGCCCAACTTTCCCCAGTGAGCATGGATTCCAAACCCTTCCCTAAGGCCCAAATCACAAGCTGACCTGTTACCCAGCATGCTCTGCCCATGGCATGGTCAAAAGGCAGCCAGCAGTATCGAGGGCCTACTGGCTGGAACTCTAACTTCTGAGGGTGGGCCAAACCTAGCCAGTCCCTACAGCTGTGCCTCTCATGCCTTTGGACATAGGCTCTCTGTTCTCCTTTCCACATGTCTTAAGGGACTTGACCAAAGAACATCTCAAGCTCTTATGCAAACAGGCCTTTCTCTGCCCCCACTGAGCCATCCCCCCAGCTGTTTATCCCAAAACTCAAACCAAATCTGCTTTGAGTGTCCCTTACCTCTTCTTCCCTCTTTCTCTCTCTTTCTCAACTATGGTGGCCCTCTTCCTCCCCAACCCTCTGTGGCCTCCATCATGACCGGACAGGGCTGGTGATGTCTGCCATCACCGTCATCATCCTGGTCCTCTACTTTGTGATTGAGACCTTCGTTGTGGATGGCCGGATGTGGCTGGCAGAGTGCACACCCGTCTATGTGCAGTACTTCGTGAAGTTCTTCATCATCGGTGTCACTGTGTTGGTTGTGGCTGTCCCTGAGGGCCTGCCTCTTGCCGTCACCATCTCCTTGGCTTACTCTGTCAAGGTAATAATAGTGTTTACAGTTGTGGGCTTTCAGCAAGCACCTGGGCTGCATTGAGGACTAGGGGAGGTTGGGTACACCTTGGGGAGGAGAGAAGGCATTGAGTGGGGACCAAGGGGCATCTTTGCAGATCTGTTGACACAGAGGGACTTGCTGTATTCAGGGGCGTTCCCCACCTGGATCCCTGGGCACAATGAGATAAACCAGAGAGCAAGTGGGTGGTGAAGTAGATCTGAGGGTTAGCATCTCTGGGTCACAAAAATAGAGAGGCCAGAAGGGTTAGGAAGTGAAGATTCCAGTACTGTTTGTGGAGATGGGAACAGGGAGGCACTGGGACATGAGAAGACTATGGGCAGAGCATTCGAGAGTCAGGATGGCATCAGGGAACCTCAGGGCCAGTGGGTAACCTGAGAGGGGCCTCTGAGAAGATGAGCTCTGAGGAGAGTGACTGCCTGAAGTCTGACTGCTAGCTCTTTGACTCATAGGCCAGTGCTGATCAGGGGCTGTTAGTACTACAAGTACATCATATTTGTGTTGACCATTTCTTGTTCCCCTTAACCTGATGAGTGAACAACACAAGTGTCCCCACCCGATCTATGCCCTTTACAGAAAATGATGAAGGACAACAACCTGGTACGCCACCTGGATGCCTGTGAGACCATGGGCAATGCCACTGCCATCTGCTCAGACAAGACGGGCACGCTCACCACCAACCGGATGACTGTGGTCCAGTCCTACTTAGGAGATACCCACTACAAAGAGATTCCAGCCCCCAGTGCCCTGACCCCCAAGATCCTTGACCTCCTGGTCCATGCCATCTCCATCAACAGTGCCTACACCACCAAAATACTAGTGAGCTGGAGCAGGAGGGCAGGCTGACAGAGCTGCTATGGGACAAGGGAAGGGGCTGGGCTGGGGTGTGGCATGAGCTATCCTGAAGAGCTGACTATACCCCCTTAAGAACTTCTGAGAGGCTGGAGGCCCCTCAAAGGTAGAGCACAGGCTTAGAATGCATGAGGCCCTAGGTTCAACTCCCAGCATCACCAAAAAGATATTTTTTTGAGCAGAGTCTTTGGGTTCACCCTCCTCTCAGTCCCTGACATGACAGGGTGCTCTGGCTACTGGGTGGGGCCTGCAGCTTCTAGAAGACCCTTCTAAGTCTGGTGAATGATGAGAATCCTGCCTGCAAGGGGTCACTTTGCAGCTGGGGCATGGCCCGTCTAGTCCACATAGTCAGGGAAGCAGTCCTTTGCTCCCCTGACAACACACCCTAAAACACGGTAGCCACAACTGGGCAGGAGCCAGGCCCCGGGGGCAGCATGGAGGGTGCTCTTGGCCTCGGTGCCATCTTGGCTCTCCTCGCCCTGCAGCCTCCAGAGAAGGAAGGCGCTCTCCCACGCCAAGTGGGCAATAAGACGGAGTGTGCTCTGCTGGGCTTTGTCCTGGACCTGAAGCGGGACTTCCAGCCTGTGCGGGAGCAGATTCCAGAAGATAAGCTTTACAAAGTGTACACCTTCAACTCAGTCCGCAAGTCCATGAGCACGGTCATCCGCATGCCTGACGGCGGCTTCCGCCTCTTCAGCAAGGGGGCTTCGGAAATCCTGCTCAAAAAGTGAGTGGGCAACAGGAAGGAGCCAGGGGCTGGGTGGCTGGGGGCCAGTTTAAGGGTATATACAAGATTTCTTGTTTTATTTTTGTAGCAAAATAGACCTAATATAAAACTGACCATTCTCACCTGTTTAAAGTATACAGTTCAGTGGCATTAAGTACATTTACAATGTCATGCAACTGTTACTACTCAAGTTCACAAACATTTCCATCACCCCATAAAGAGCCCCTGACTCACTAAATAGCTACTGTCCATCTCCCCACCAGTCCTGGAAACCACTGATCTGATTTCTGTCTCTGCCTATTTTGAACATTTCATATAAATGGAATCCTGCAACCAGGTGCAGTGGTGCATCCTATAATCCCAGCTATTCAGGAGTCTGAGGCAGAAAGATGGCAAGTTTAGGCCAGCCTGGGCAACTTGGTGAGAACCTGTCTCAAAATAAAAAATCAAAAGGTCTGGGGATGTTGCTCAGTGGTAGAGCACTCCTGAGTTCAATCTCCAGTATTGCAAAGAAAAAAAGGAAATCATGCACTTTGTGGCCTTTGTGTCTAGCTTCTTTCAAGGTTCATCCATGTATCATAATTTCATTTCTTTTTGATGGTTGACTAATATCTCATTGTGTGTATAAGATCAATTTTGTTTACCCATTCATCTGTTGCCAAACACTAGGATTTTTTTTCTACATTTTGGCTATTGTGAATAATGCTGCTGTGAACAAGGTTGTGTTTGAATTCACATTTTTTAAAAGAGAGAGAGAGAGAGAGAGAGGGAGGGGATCTTTTCTTTTCTTTTTTTTTTTTTTTTTTTTTTTTGGTAGATGGACACAACACAATGCCTTTATTTTTATGTGGTGCTGAGAATCGAACCCGGGTCCCGCCCATGCTAAGCAAGCGCTCTACCACTGAGCCACAGCCACAGCCCTTGAATTCACATTTTCAACTCTTTTAGATATATCCTATTTTAGTCAGCTTTCCATTATAATAACAAAACCTTAAGCTAAATCAGTTTATAAAGAGAAAAGGGTTGTTTTGGCTTATAGATCTGGAGGTTTTGGTTCATGATCACTTGGCCTCATTGCCTTTGGGGCTGTGGCAAGACAGTACATCATGACAGGTATGTGTGATGGAGCAAAGAGTCACTTATTTCATGGCTGGGATGAGAAGGAGAAAGAAGAGACCACAGTCCCACAATCCCCTTAAAGGGCATGCCCCAAGGACTTAATCCCCCCCCCACTAGGCCCTACTTCCTAAATTCCCACCCCTCCCAAGAGTGCCAAGCTGGGGACCAAGCTTTTAACACATAGACCTTTGGAACACATTCTGTCCCTAACCCCCCAGTGGCTCATGTCCATCTCCCAATACAAAATGCATTCAATTCTTCTCCATGAATCTCCAGAGTCTTAACTATTCCCACTTTGCTTAAAAGTCCAAGTCCAAAAAAATCTCCTCTGAGACTCAGGGCAAAATCTTAGCCAAGAGCCCCTGTACAATTAAAAAAGAAAGTTACATTCTTCCAAGATACAATGACACAGCGTAAGCATTCTCATTCCAAGATGGGGAAAATAGGAAAATAATATGGAGGGTCTAGACCAAAGTAAGACCAAAACCCGGGAGGCAAATCCTAAATCTCCAGGTCTGGTGTCCAAAGCACACCACGTTAGTATGTGGCTCCCAAGGGCTTGGTCAATCCCATCCTAATAACTTTGCTGGCTGCTTCCCACAAGGCCACTGTCTTGAGCTAGCTTTACATACTGTCTGCAATTTCCTCTGAGCATTCCTAGCATCCTCTAACTTCATGGGGTCTCCATTACAACATGAGCTTCATTCTCATGGCTCCATCATTGCTCTGGCAGAGACTGCCTGCAAGGATGCCAATGCTGCCACACACTGCCTGGCTCCCAGGCTTTCCTTTGAAATCTTGGTGGAAGCCTCCATGACTCCATAACTCTTGCATCCTGCATGCCTTCAGAACCAGCATCACCTGGATGACACCAAGGTCTGGCACCAGTGAGAGCTGTATCTGGGCCCACTTGAACCATGATTCTAGCTGCCTCTGACTAAATACAGAGAAATAAATTCCAGGGAGATAAATCCCTAGTCACTTTTGGGTGAGCATGGCACCCTGGGGTTTTCTTCTCCAAAGACTCTGTCCTGGAAATTCTTTGAAACCAATTTACAATTCTACATTTCTAAGCATGAGATGCCACTCCATTTCTGCAATTCCCTCTAGGCATCTTTCCTATTATCCACTTGGCTTCTTTTTAGTTGCACTAGCAACCACATCAGTACCCTCTTTGGCTGGAACTTTACATGAACTTCTTTTTTGGCCAAACAGCAAGTTTTGCAAATCTATCCACTCTATTCCTGCTTTCTCCTGATTCTCACAGTAAATTTAGCTAAAAAGGATGCAGGAATAAATACCCATGCCATATCCTGAATGCTTTGCTGTTTCCTCCTTCACATGAACTAATTTTTCACGTTGAAACTCAGCCTCCCACAGAGTCTCAGGACATAGACAAAATGCAGCCAAATTCTTTGTCATAATGTAAAAAAGGATGGTCCCCTGTACCATTTCCAGTGGAGTCCTTGTTTCCATATGAAACTTTATGAGCACAGTCTTTACTGTCTGCATTCCCTTAGCATTCTGGTCCTCTGAGCTCCCAGGAGAATTGCCCACGAAGCTGTGCTTATAGCATTCTGGCCTTTCCCTAGCCTGCTCCTTCAAACTTTCCAAACTCCTCCCACCCATTCTCAATGTTCTTCCACATTGACAGGTGTGATCGCAGCGAGGACCCACTTCTTGGCACAAATTTTCTAGGCACCCTGCAATCCAGTCAGGTTGTCACTAAAATTAACCATCATGTCTACCTAGGAGTGCCATGCTGGGTCATATTATAACTATGTTTTTTTTTCCAAATTAACTCCATAATTTGATGTTCCAAGTAGCTATGTAGAAGAATTCTAACTTCTCCTCATCCTTCCAAATACTTGTTATTCTCTCGTTTTATTGTTGTTATTATTATGGTCATCCTAGTGTATGTGAGGTGGTATCTTATGGTAGTTTTGATCTGCATTTCCCTAAGGACTAATGCTGTTGAGAATTTGTTCAAGTGTTTAGTGACCAGTTTAAGACTTCCTTAGAGAAATGTCTATTGAAGCCCTTTGCCCATTTTTTAGTTGGTCTGTTTGTGTTCTTATTACTTAGTTTTAAGAGTTCTTTATATATTCGGGTTATTAGATCCTTATCAGGTATCGGATTTATAAATATTTCTTCCCATTGTGTTGGTTCTTTTTACTATTGAGAGTATCCCTAGACTCATGATGTTTTAAGATTATGATGAAGTTCAATTTATCTATTTTTGCTACTGTTATTTTTGTTGGGTTTCTTTTAGAAGTGATGAAAATGTTGGAAAGTTGACTGTAGCGATGCTTGTACATATCTATGAATACACTAAAAATCATTGAATTGTACACTTTAAATGGGTGAATTGTGTGGTATGTGAATAAAGCTGCTTAACAAAACAGAAAGAGGGAGCATGCAGCCTTGCGTCCAAGAACCCTTGCTCCCCCTGTCCTTTCTCAGTCTATACACTTTCCTTTGGCCTTGGCCTCTCTCTTTTCCCCATTCCTTCTGCCCCACCCACCTGGATCCTCCCATACTTCCCCCATGGGAAGCCTAGGGTTTCTTGCACCCCCAGGCTCAGCCTGCCCACTGTTCTCAGCAGACCTGATCACCAGGTGAGCCCCCAAATAGTCCAGGCACAGACACTGCAACCCAGGGCAAAAACCACATCCTCCCTGAAGCCCTGATGGGTTGGTAGTGGAGGCTGGACTTCAGGGCCTAGACCTCTTTCTGTGCTTCTCTTTTGATGGCCACTGTGGCTGAAAACCCAAATTCTATAGCAGAGCCTGAAGTCCAAACCTGACTCTACTCTTTGCTGGCCATGTGAACATGAGCAAATTACCTCCACTCTCCATGGCCACCACAGTTTCCCCTGATAACTTATTTCTTGGGAGTGTTGTGAGAATGACATAAGTGAATCCGTGTTCCTAGGAAGACATCAGTCTGTGCTAGCTCTTGTTATCATTTCCTTCTGTCTTGACAGCCAGTTCCTGCTTCATCAGTGTCCCTGTAGTACCTACCTCCTAAGCCCATTCACTTTTTCTATCACACCTGTCTTTAGCTGAATCCTCCCAGTCATATCTGTTCTGAGAAGCATCTGGGGCCATCAGAGCTTGGACTGAGATTGCTGCTTTTCCCATTCCGTGGTTACAACTGATAGTCTGTGGCATTTGGGTTTTCCTGATGATCTTCCTCCTTGTCCTGTGGAGTCCATGGGAGAACTGCCATAAGCCAGGAGTTCCCACCTGCCAACTGGGGTCTCTCAGCCAACTCTAATGTATGTGTGTCCAGGGGCTGCTGGAAAAAATGACCCCAAACCTGCTGGCTTAAAACAACAGTTCTGGAGGCCAGAAGTCCAATGTCAAGGTATAGGCAGGGCTGTGCTCCTTCTGACAGGTATAAGAGAGAATCCTTGCTTGCCTTTCCCAGATTCAGGTGGTGGCTACAATCCTTCATGCTTCTTGGCTTGCAGCTACATTACTCCAGTCTCTACCTCTGTTGTCACATGGCCTCCTCCCTTGTCTGTGTGTCTCTGTGTCCTCTGCTATCTATATAAGGACATTGGACACTGGCTAAAGTCCCACCCTATTCCACTGTGACTAGTGCTGCTTCCTCTTGTTTTCTCCCTGTCTCTACCTCACTCCACCACCCCTCCCCTTGCCCCAGGTGCACCAACATCTTAAACAGCAATGGTGAACTCCGAAGTTTTCGTCCTCGGGACCGGGATGACATGGTGAAGAAGATCATTGAGCCAATGGCTTGCGACGGCCTCCGTACCATCTGCATCGCCTACCGAGACTTCTCTGCAGGCCAGGAGCCTGACTGGGACAACGAGAATGAGGTGGTGGGTGACCTCACCTGCATAGCTGTCGTGGGCATTGAGGATCCCGTACGGCCTGAGGTAGCCACCCCTTGGTAACTGCTTCCTGGACCTGAGGTGTCCGATAGGTGGAGGGCCAGCCTTTTCCCACACTTAACCTCCACGGTGTACTTCAAACACAAGCATGCATGGCAAGAGCCACTTTCTCCTCACCTTCCCAGCTGTTACACCTCTTACTGCATAGTTACAGGTAGAGCAAACCAGCCACCTGCTGAAGTGCAGAAACACTGGATAAGGTGGCCAATGGCAGAGACTTGGGGTCCTCCTAGGGTCATGGCCATTGCACCCCAGATCACTCCCTCCTCAGTACACTTGATCTCCTTCCTGGAGGCTCTTGCCCTTGACCCACACAGAGATTCTGGGCTGCCCACAGGAAGCCTCCTCCTTCTTGGTCCTGGGGCATAGTCAGGCTTCACCTCCTACTGGGTGAGTGAGTGCAGCAGTGAGATCTTCAAACCTCACCCCCAGCCCCCTGCAAAACCAATAGGCTCAAGGGGATGGTGAGGGAGAGGGGGAGCCAGGGATGACTGAACTGGGAAGCCTGACTGATGCAGGTTTGAGGGACAGGGTGGACCATTCTTAGTCAAGGGTTTAGTTGGATCCAAATGATATTCAGGATATCCTCATGAAAATGTCAAGTAGGTCAGTGGCTATAGGAATAGAGAGCTCACAGCAAAGGTCCTGACTAGAGAGAAATTCCAGGAGCATCATTGTATGGGTGACATCACCGGCACAGTGTGCACTGCAACAGAGGCCAGACAGGGAATAGAAACTTCAAGGGCCATGTGTCTGAAGCAGGCACAGAGGAAAAGAGGGTGAGTTTGCCCAGTCATGGCCTTGACATTGGGAAGTCATTAAAGACCTTGAGCTGAGCAGGTTCCATGGGATGGCTGCTTTTTATTCTTTAAAAATGGGAGATCCTGCCAGGATTGTGGCTCAGTGGTAGAATGCTTGCCTACATGGGTGAGGCCCTGGGTTCAATCCTCAGCACCACATAAAATAAATAAATAAAATAAAATAAAGGTATTGTGTCTATGTACAACTAAAATTTTTTTTTAAAAATGGGAGATCCTGCCAGGATTGTGGCTCAGTGGTAGAATGCTTGCCTACATGGGTGAGGCCCTGGGTTCAATCCTCAGCACCACATAAAATAAATAAATAAAATAAAATAAAGGTATTGTGTCTATGTACAACTAAAATTTTTTTTTAAAAATGGGAGATCCTGGAGAGAGGCAGAGTCTGGGAGGGCCTTCTGTCTTCACAGACCCTCTCTATTGCTGCCATCTCATGTCAGAAACCTGAAAACATATTTGTAGGAGCTGCAGTGGGGTGTGGGGTGACAGGAGAGGAGAAGTTTCATGCTTTGGACCATGGACCAAAAAAACTCAATTCAGAAGAAAATGCCCAGTGGCCATGGATCATTATCAATAGAGCAGCCCTGCATTCCAAGAAGAACCCAGTGTGAACTGGCATTAAGGTGAGCTCCTAGGCCTGCTGCAAAATATTTTTATGTAAGTTTTCATCTCAGAAAATGTCAAACAGAGGCAAGTTGTGGTGAGGATATAATAAAGGCCCACCTTCAGTAGGTGCCCTGGCAGGTTAGGGAGAGGCCACCCCAGGCTGGGCATTGGCAGAGGGGCCCAAGGAATCAGAAATGGCTCCTTTTTGGCTTGAGCGTAGCTTTAGATAGTCCAGGAGGCAGGTCACAGTGACAAGGTCATGTGGGAAGGCCATGAAGATTCTCAGGGAAATGGGCTAGCCAGGTAGTAACCAGGAAGAGAGCACAGAGGGCCCTGTGAATCCCTGGTGCCAATAGCAGGAGGGAAGGCACATGGGCCTTGGGTAACCCTGCTGTGGGCTGTGCCTGCAGGAAGCTTGGTGTGTGCCACCTTAATGACTGAGCAGAGCCTGACAGCTCTTCCACTGTGCTGCCCACCCTTGAGGAGGAAGCAGGGAGTGCCACTGAACAGATGACAAGGGAAAACTGTCCCATGAGAAGGGGGTCACCTTATAAAGAGGGACCTTCCTGCCTCCTGGTTGGGACGCTCAGAGTCCCAAGACTGCGTGAAGGATCTGGCAGCCCAGCCTCTGTCTGCAGCTCCCAGCTTTCAGGTTTGTCCCAGCCACTTGGTGGCAGCAGAGGAATGCCTTCCAGATGCTCCAGGGACAGGAGCTGCCTCATTGCCTTGCTGGGAGGGAAGTTATTTCCTGGTAACGTGGTCTTATTTCCTGGCACACCAAGGTCCTCAAAGAGCAGAAAGTATCAAGGGGACACATCACAGGGGGATGCTCAACATTCCTGGTCACTTTTAAGGCCATTTCCTTCAGGGATCATCAGGTTTCTCTGTCACAGCCTGAAATGGGGGCCCCTCTATTCTTGCCCCCACTCTCTCTGGCTGTTCCCAGGCAGCTCTGCCCCAGTCCCCCACAGCCTGACTCTTACTCTAGGATCCCTACACCAGAGGATTGGGCCACATCTGGGCCACCTGCACATCCTTACATCTTTCCTCCTTGGACTCTGTGTTTGTCCCAGGGAATCCATGTTTATCCCATCAATGCTCTGGATGGTTTTTCCTTTCTGTCACCCCTCCCTGCCAGTGCATCTGTCGGACCCTATCTTGTCTGCTTCCTTCCCCACTGCAGCCTCAGGGCCTGAAGAGCCAGTACTTCATTGGTTTGGGAAATGTCCTTTCCATCTTCCTCTCACTGGAATGATGCCATGACCTCCTGGCTCGTCTCCTGGCTTCCCACTTCTCAACCCTCGTTTTGCACTCAATGCTAGGGGGGTTCTCTTTCTCCTTGCCTTGTTCCAGAATTGAATATGATATTTGGAAATGAAATCCATGCTTTATAACCAAGCAATGTTCCGTTTCCCCCAGCAAATAGATGATGTAAGGCCCGTATCTCTAAGAAAAAGATTAATGCCCAGGCAGTAAGAGAGGAGCCCAGAGCTTAGTTGCAGTTCTGGCTGCTTCAGAGTAAGCTGACTCTGAGTCCTCACCCTGAGTCAGGGTCCCAGAAGGATGGGCCTGTAGCAGGCACTGCTAGCCACAGGAAAGCCAGTCAAGTAGCCAGGGTTGGGAGGCCCCTTTCTTATTTTTCTTTAGAGTCAATGTCCCTGCCCTGCCTGCTGCCTGGTGACCTGGACTGGTTCTGCTCAGCAGCCCTGGAGCTCAGTTTACCAGCTGGAAAATGAGGTTAACAGCTGGGTAAATCTTATGGCCACCCAGGTACCCCTTCCAGACATGAATATGATGGTGTTGCTGCACAGCATGAAAGATTCCAATGGCTTCTCCCAGCCCTGCTCACACCACCAGGGCCTGGATCTGAGTCATTGCTGGTCCCTGGTGTAGGTAGGCTGAGGATTGAGGGAGGCACCCGCCTACCATGGGCTGATCTCTATGCCTTCTCTGGGCCCACCCTCCACAGACACCTTGCCTGGGTACACAGGTTTGGCTTAACTACTAGCTCTGGATGTTAGACCCAGCACAGCCCAGACACAAAATAAGTTTTGCCTTACTGGCTTTGCTTTCTCTTCTTGTCTCTTGCAGGTCCCTGAAGCTATCCGCAAATGCCAGCGTGCAGGCATCACAGTTCGCATGGTGACTGGAGACAACATCAACACGGCCCGGGCCATTGCAGCCAAGTGTGGCATCATCCAACCAGGAGAGGACTTCCTGTGCTTGGAAGGGAAGGAGTTCAACAGGAGAATCCGCAACGAGAAAGGCGAGGTAGCTCCCTGCCACCTTAGTCCCAGTTTTGACTGCTTCTATGACCTTCCTTCCCTGCCCTTTTCAGTCCCTCCACTAGCCCTCCACCCACCTTACCTGTATAGTATCATGTGCTTCCCCCAGATAGAACAAGAGCGGCTGGACAAGGTGTGGCCCAAGCTGAGGGTGCTCGCCAGGTCGTCTCCCACCGACAAGCACACTCTAGTCAAAGGTAAACGAGCTCACTCAGCCCCTTCCTGGGGGCAGCATGGGTGCCCAGGCATGTCCTATCATCTGCTCATGAACACCTCAAGTCATGTTCCCATGTGGGTCTCCAGGGCCTGCTTATGAAGCCAGGATCCTGCTTCTAGAAACTTGTGTATAGAAAATACCCAAGCAGGAGGAGCCCACAGAGGCGGTCTCCTTACTGGAGCAGATCAAGAAATTGAGATCCACAGGAGGGAGACATTAACCCAAATCACACAGCACCGGCTCCCTCTCTTCTACCAAATGACACCCCCCTCACCACTGCCTGATGGGCCAGGGTGGGAAGAGAGGGACTTGACCCACAGGTGCCCAGGAGCACAAGGACAGCCTGCCCCACAGACGCCTTGGCAGGGCTCCAGGGGGACATGGTGTCTCCATATCTACAGATGGCACTGGCCCTGCCCTGCCCCATTCTGTGTTCCAGGGATCATCGACAGCACTACTGGTGAGCAGCGGCAGGTGGTGGCAGTGACTGGAGATGGCACCAACGATGGGCCAGCCCTCAAGAAGGCAGATGTGGGCTTTGCCATGGTAAGTCACCCAGGACCAGGCCAGTCACCTCAGCAGATGAGACCTTGAGTCTCGCAGACAGTAACTGTGCACTAGAGAGTGAAATACTGTGTTAGGGCAGGTTACAGTAGGATAGAAAGTTCTCTCACATCCTAGCACTTGGGCCTATATGAGCTCTGCCTCCCTTAGGTCTCAGTTTCCTTGGTTTGTTTAAAAACATTTGACATGATGACATTTGCAGTGAAGTGGGGCATCACTGAGAAGGGGAGTAGGCAGCAGGGGCTCATCAGTGATGGGCCCTGCCTGCCATTGCCCGCTCCTAGTCCACTTTAAGTGGATTCCTGGACCATGTTTCTAAATCATACACTTCCTAAATTGCAAATATGGATGCATGTAGGGAGTGGGGAGGATTTGATTGACAAATGCCTAAAAGTTACCTTCTCATTTCTATGACTTTCTAGTAGAATTGAATTATTTTCTATACTTGTGATTAAAAGTCCCTAGTGGGGTCTCCCTCTGTGCTGCTTTCCTGTTGCTTACATAGAGCTGGTTCTTCCCTTCAAACCCCAGGCCCACTGAGCAAGGAGCCTGCAGGTACTACCCACAGGGCTCTGGGCTTGGCCCTGAGGGCAGAAGCCTGGCAAGCCCTATCCCTACTCTAGCAGAAAGGAGCACCCTCAACTCAGCCCACATTCAATGCAGCCCACCAGGGGCCCAGTCCACCCCCTCCGGGCCCCCAGACCTGGAGGGAAGACCAAACTGAGCCTCCTGACAGCAGGTCTCACAGGGCCAGGCCTGAGGTGGAACGAGTGAGGGCTGGGCAGTTTTGCACAGGTATAGCCACATCTGCATTCTGTATTGGAGAAGCAAGGACCCACTGTTCCATCCAGGACCCCCAGGGCCTACTTAGATAATCAGTTTCTATAGAGTACCAAAGCAAACAGAAAGCTGGTGAGTGACCCTGTCATCAGCATCCTCTGAGTTTAGGAGCAAACTCCCTGTACTGTGACAGGCAATGACTCTCAGAGTATGTTTATAGCACAGATCATAATGGATTAAAACGAGTGCTGTTCCTAGCTAGGCCAACATCATTTGGAAGTGCAAGACAGAAAACCAGCCCACAAGGGCTAGGTGGTCAAAGGGGGCTGAGGGATGGACTCCATGAGCACTCTGGTTTGGACACTCATGGATTCTGTGTTTGTGTGCCATCCTCCAGGGGATTGCAGGAACTGACGTGGCCAAGGAGGCCTCTGACATCATCCTGACCGATGACAACTTCACCAGCATTGTCAAGGCAGTCATGTGGGGCCGCAACGTCTATGACAGCATCTCCAAGTTCTTGCAGTTCCAGCTGACAGTCAACGTTGTGGCTGTGATTGTGGCCTTCACAGGCGCCTGCATCACTCAGGTGGGCAGCACAATCCTGTGGAAGGTTTCTGAGGGCAGAGGCTCAGGCTGAAAAGCTCAGGCTTAAAGGCCAGGTGGAAAGCAAGTATTTTTTTTTATTTGTTGCAGATTCTTTTTAATTGAAATCAAATTCACATACCCCCAAATTCACCATTTTAGGTACACAGTTCAGTAGATTTTCTAGTATAATTACCGTGTTATGCAACCATCACTTGTATCTGGTTCCATAGTATGTTCATCAGTCCCAAAGGAAACCCTATACCCAATACAGTCACTCCCTATCATGCCCCTGGAAATCACCAGATCAGTGCTACCTAATACTATCCTTTGTTTTTAACATCTCACTGAGCACAATTTTTTTCAAGATTCACCCATGTTATAGTCAGTACTTCATTCCTTTTTATACCTGAATAGTATTTCATAATACCATCTGTGTATATATGCCACATTGTGTTGCTCATTCATCAGCCAGTGGACTATTGGGTGGTGCCAGGTTTCTGTTCTCACGACTAAAAGGCTCAGGGGTCACTCTAGTTAAACTGGGCTAACTGGGCTGCACGAAATAACCCCACAAGAGACACAAATACCTTTTTCTTTGGGGTCGCTGTGACGGCTCCTCTGACCTTAAGGGTCCACAGAAAGAGAGCGAGAGCAGGCGCTGACCCTTTTATTGAGAAGAAGCTATTCAAATGAGGCAAGGGGTCAGGTTTCAGGGGGCTGAGTCCATCTTCATGATGTCCACTCTCAGCAGGTTGACTGACACCTGGGTAGGCCACACCCAAGGTACAGTAAGAGGAGGGGACACACACAAGGCACTTCCATGGAAGATTCTATCCTAAACAGGGCAAGGGGTTATATCACAAGGAACAGGTGAGCATAGCTAAACCCTTGGAGCTGTAGCAAGACACACCCATGCAGGAGACACCGACCCTCGCACCCAAAAAGGGTGGGGGAAGCTCTGCCACATTTCTGTGACTGAGCGCCTCAGCACCCAGCTGGGGAGTGTGACTCAGTCACGTGTAAGGTTGGTCTCCCACAGGGTGATTTCTACGTTTTTGGATATCATAACTGGTACTACTAGGAATATTCATGTGCAAGTTTCTGTGTGGACATATTTGTACCATTCTTCTGGGGAACTCCAAGTTTCTCCCTTGGTGGAATCTCCTCCCCTTTCTCACTGTCCCATTTTCCCTATCGGCGACAGTAGGGAATTGATTTGTTCACTATTAGCAATGTCAAAGCTTATTGTCAATAGGTAGTTAAATTATTTGCTGATCAAGTTGGTCCTTTCAAAGATTTTTTATTTTTTTCAAATCACATGACACAAACTTCCCCATAATAATAATTTTAAAGTGTTCAATTCAGTGGTTTTTATTATATTCACAACATTGTAAAACTATCATCACTATGTACTCCCAGAATAGTCTGATCACCCCAAAAGGAAACCCCATACCCATTAGCAGACACTCTACTCCCTTCCCCAACCTACAGCTCCTCTAATGTGCTCTCTCTGTGAAGATGTCAGTTCTGGAAATGTCAAATGAATTAAATCATATGAAACCTTGTGATCATATGATCATGTGAAACCATATGATGCCTTGAAGCCAATTTTTAAAGAACAACTTAGGGGATGACAAGGCAAGTCAGATCAGAGTTCTGGCCTCTTCCTGTCCCTTGGGAATAGGAGAATGAAAGAGTGTCCATCCTTCTGTGGCCCCAAAGCTAGCCCCCTTTCACTGGTCTATTTTTTTTTAGCCTGGGATAACTGACTGGACCTTTCACACCTTCTAGATCACTGCCAGCAGGCAAGAGAAGGAGATGGGCAGAAACTAGAAGCCTAGCAGTAAACTCCTGCTAACATAAAGGACACCTAGGGCTGCAGACATTATGTGTTTATGGGAATGAAATTCTGATAGCATTGACCACAAGCTGAGTTCCTTCCTAGGAGCTACAGGTTTTTTCACCCCAGGCTGTCCGCAGTTGGGGAACTGGGCAGCCTGCTTACAGAAGTGTTTCCATCCCTTCTCCACAGGACTCTCCTCTCAAAGCTGTGCAGATGTTGTGGGTGAACTTGATCATGGACACATTTGCTTCTCTGGCCCTGGCAACGGAGCCTCCCACAGAGTCACTGCTGCTGCGGAAGCCTTATGGCCGGGACAAACCCCTCATCTCTCGCACCATGATGAAGAATATCCTAGGCCATGCAGTCTATCAGCTCACCATCATCTTCACCCTGCTCTTTGTCGGTAGGTTGGCCCCAGAGCGCACACATTGCAGCTGGTGTGTGCAAGGCATTCACGACACTGTGGCTTTCCCTCATGCTTGGGTGCTGTCTGGCACATGTCATCTGGATCCCCAGCCCAGCACAGGGTAGAGCAGGCCTGCTGCACACCCTTGGCCCTCACCTCCCTGCCAGCCCTCATTGTAGGTCTCCCACTGGACATCCCCAGGGTTGAGGTGGTAAAGACCAGAGGTGACTGATGCAGGGAGCACCCACACACACAGCCACATCCTCAGCCCTGCCTCTCTCCTCCCTCCAGGGGAGCTCTTCTTTGACATCGACAGTGGGAGGAATGCACCTCTGCACTCCCCGCCCTCAGAGCACTACACCATCATCTTTAACACCTTCGTCATGATGCAGCTCTTCAATGAGATCAATGCCCGCAAGATCCATGGCGAAAGGAATGTCTTTGATGGCATCTTCAGCAACCCCATCTTCTGCACCATTGTCCTGGGTACCTTTGGAATTCAGGTAGGAAGGGCAGTTCCACATTTATTCTGTGCTGCTTTTGAGGGGTGGGAATAGAGGGCTTCAAGGCCCTAGGACTTCCCTGGTCCTGGCTTTCCTGCCTCCAGTCACAAAACCAGTCTGGACCATCTTGGTTTTCCTCTTACCCATGACCTTACTGTGCCAGAGAGGGGTTTAGTGGACCTGAATCAGAACTGACTTTCCTCACCTATGGCAGAAGTAGCCTTCCCTGACTCCCTTCCAGTCTGCCATTCCTATATCTGGCATCTAATTCCTTGGTGTGAGGCTACTGGAACTCCAGAAGGTTCTTTTGGAGATGCCAGCTGTGCCCAAAGTTGATGTACTGAATTTTACCTGCCACAGTGCAATGGACAAGTTGGACATCTCAGGTCCCCAGCAGGGGCTGAATGTTCTAAAATACACTGTCTTCAAGGAAAACTTGAGCTATAGTAAGGCTCACAAATTGGAAGATGGTTGCCATCAAAAGATGATTATCTTTTATTCATAATTTCAGTGCTCACAGATCCCAAGCAGAAGGCATACCACACTACAGAGGCCACACCACAGAGGCCACTCAGAAGTGTCAGTCAGAAGGCAAAGGGAGAGAGAGCCATGGACAAAGACCTTTATTGTGGCTTCCCCAAGACAGAATGGGCAAAACAAGATCCACAGGCTTAGGACTGGCTGGTGTGAATCATTTTAGCCCACTCTGGGGCATGGGGGCTGTCTGGGTTGTCAGACACTGCCCTGGAAGGGAGTTCAGGAATGGGCTCTGAATTGGTTGGTTTGTACTTCTTGAAGAGCTTGCCCCTGGGAATAGAAGCTTTCTGAGGTGGAGAGGGAGAGGGAGACAGGAAGCCAAATCAAAGTAACCTTCATGTTATGGGTTACCCAGCCCAAGGGCGTCTGGCATGTGCATGTGGACTAGGTAATAAAGCATCAGTTCATGAAAGCTGGAAATGTGCTCAGCAGAGCTGAGCCTCATCCAGAAGCTGGAGTCAGTGGGGTACATAGCCCCCAGAGAGGATGTGGGGGTGGCCCATCGTGTAAACCTTGGCCCTGTAGTCAGCCAGTCTGTGAATTCACCTTCACACATTTGTTGAGGCAAAAAGGTAGGGAAAGAGCCCCAGCAAAGGAAAGTAAGGCCCTCTCCCAGGGTGCAGCTGGTTTGCCTGCAGGAGTCAACAGTCCTCTGACTCTGACCAGGATGGCCTGGCTCTCAAGAAAGGCCATCCTGGTAGGCAGGACAGGTCAAGGGCTGGGGTAGATGAAGGGCAGCTGGGATATGTACCAGTGGTCCACTGCTGTTGGACCCACCCCTTCCCATCCCCCTTCTGCAGATTGTCATCGTCCAGTTTGGCGGGAAGCCCTTCAGCTGCTCCCCTCTGTCCACAGAGCAGTGGCTCTGGTGCCTGTTTGTTGGTGTTGGGGAGCTGGTCTGGGGACAGGTGAGTGTCTTCCTAGTCAGCTTTCTCACTCTTCCATTTGGCTCTGCTGATGGCACCAGTGATGCCAGCAGTCCAGGCTGGCCTAGGGTCCCACAGACCCAATTACCTGCTCCAGAGCCTCAGAGCTTGTGCCTGGGAAAGTACTTGCATGACATGTTCATGTGGGGAGCTCAGCAAAGTAGGCTCAGGCCTGTGACATACCATGACTAAGAGGCAAGGCCTCAAAGTGACGGCATCAGCAGCAAAGGATCATGGCTGGGATGTCCCAGGGCCCAGGAAACAACCCATTGTTCCATTTTCTGCGATAGTAACCAAAAATTGCCCCTTAAGCCTGGGTGGCTTGGGAGCTGGGGCATAGCTTGGTGGTAGAGTGCTTTCGTAGCATGCATAAAGCACCGGGTTCCATCCCCAGAAACACACACACACACACACACACACACACAATTAACTGGGTGGCTTGGAAAATGCCACATATTTGAAATTAAACAATACCCTAATAATAATCTGCAGGGCAAAGAGAAGTTCTTGAGAAAACTTAGGAAGCATTTTGATCTGATGGAAAATGCGAGAACCACACAGTGATTAGATCAGGAAGTCTCAGCCTGGGTGGCAAGAGTGAGCTCCTCCTGCCATGGATGCACAAGAGATCTCAGAAAGCATTTCTCTGGAGTTCCAGAACACTGGCACAGGAAGCTGAGTGCAGGATCCACCTCTCTCTGTGTCTTAGTCAGCTCAGGCTGCCATAACAGAATATCAAACAGACAGCTTAAATTACAGATGTTTATCTTCTCATAGCTCTGGAGGATGAAAGTCCAAGATCAAGGTTCCAGCCAATTCTGTTTCCAGTGAGGGTCTTTTCCTAGCTTGTGGCCAGCTGCTTTCTCACTGCATGCTCACAGGGCCAAGAGAAAAAGCTGGAGCTCTCTGGTATCATTTAATTTAATCTCCTTCCTCCAAGTATCACGTACTTGCGGAGGGGGGGCAGTGGCTACGGATTCAACATATGAAGTTGGGGGACACAGTTTAGTCCATAGTGCTCTGGATTTTGTTTCTTGATCCACTGGCATCACCCCAAGCCAGCCAGAGGGAGGCTCCTTCAGTTGCTGCAGAGGTCAGACTCTGTTGGTACCTGGCATTAGTCCTCAGGGATGGCCTGCCCAATTCCTCCATCTTGTTTTTGGAATTCTCTTTCCATCTGCCACTGCAACTCTCTTCCCAGTCACACTTGGGCTTGGTCATCCTATGGAGTCCCTTGGCTTCCTATAGCCTGGATTCCATAGAGCCTAGATTCCACAGAGCCAGGACAGTGCCAGCACCTTTTTGATCTTTGAGCTCCCAGTTCCTGACACAGTGTCTGCTCTAGGCCTTTCCTAGGACAGGAGGTAACCAGCCGGAAGCTTTGTCCCATAGGCTATGCACCACTCTTTTTGTTCTTATGTTTTCAATGACAAAAAAAAAAAAAAACATGTTAAAACCAATGGAAAGGAACCTCTATGAAAAGATCATCAAGTCCCCTCTCAGCCATGTTTAACAAAGTTCAGACACACAAGATGAACAGAGTAATCCACTGTTCTCTGCCCAGACAGGGAAATAAAGCCAAGCCTTCCCTTCAGCCCTCCCTGGCTTTTCCTCCTCTTTCCCTTGCCAGTTGTCACCTCTCCCTCCCTGGATGAACCCTGATCTTGGCCCTTTTGTAGACTGAGCTTCCTCAGGAGATGCTGTCTCCAGGAGAGCCCAGATGTGAGCTTCCACGTGTCACTCCCTGGGAGTAGTATAACCAGCCACCATGAGGGACAGCATGTGTGGGGTATTGTCAGCTAGGAAGCTCAGCTCTGGTATCTAGGGTTTTTCTTTGGGGTCTGTCACATGGGCCTCACTCTCCAGCCCCTCTGTGGCTCAAGGTCCCCACTGTAAATTAAAATGTTTTCATAGACTAGTGGGAAGCCAAGGCCTCCATGCGCCACACTTCTTTGAGGCAGGATGCTCCAGGCTTCGAGATCCCTCCCAGGACCCATCTTTACTGCACAGCACTCTACAGATAGGCTTCTCTGACTACTCCTGGCCCTTTGGCAGGGACTCGATGGAGAAGTTGTCTGCCTGCAGGGAGGGACAGTTTAGGAAACAAGGGTCTGCAGGCCCAGTGGGGGTGGCCTGAGACACCAGACCTCAGCCTGTGTTGGTGGGAGGTGGAGCCTCTGGTCTCTTGCTGACTCCAGCAGAACCTGCTCTCATGGCCACCTCTGCTTGCTGTCTGTCCCTCAACTGTGGCCTCCACAGGTCATCGCCACCATCCCCACCAGCCAGCTCAAGTGCCTGAAGGAAGCTGGACATGGGCCTGGGAAAGATGAGATGACTGATGAGGAACTGGCCGAGGGGGAAGAGGAGATAGACCATGCTGAGCGGGAACTGCGCAGGGGCCAGATCCTCTGGTTCCGGGGCCTCAACCGGATCCAGACGCAGGTAAACCGCCGTTTCTCTTGGCTCCTGTGGCTCTTCTCCCTTGAGAGGTTAGAAAGCAAGCAAGAAGTAGAGTGAGCTAGTGGCCTGAGACCAATGGGGAAGCCACTAGGTCTTGCCCCCAAGCATACAGAGGCAGTTGCTAGGCTCCCCTTTACCATCCTAGGTGTGCTCATCACTGGCTGGGGCACTGAGATTGCCTCTCCCTGACACCTCCCTCAATGCCCAGGTGACCCCCCATAGTGGTGCAGGTGCCAGCTAAAAGTGTGTGCTGGTGATCAGTGGCTGTGTCTCAGAGGCACCATCTGCTTTACTTGGTAGTGGCTGTCCCAGGTTGTGGACAAGTTGCTACTGTGCAAATGCTCATAGGTCAGGGCTGGTCAAGGCCAACACCATCAACTATAGCCCCTCTGAAGTCAGATGGGCATGACTGTAGTAGCCACTTGGGAAGGCTTCACAAGAGCCTGAGGGCTGAAACTACCCTGCTCTCTGTCTCTGTCTCTTCTTGGCCAGCCTTCCTGCCAGAATACTCCCTACTCACACACGGCCTCTCCACACAGTTCCCTTGCACACTCATGATCATACTGCATGCCACTCCCCAGAAACAGTTCTCCCTGTGCTCTGCAAGGTCTCCTTCTGGATGCATTATTACTGTTTCTCAGTCACCCTGTGGGATGCTGTTTGCCCTGCTGGCCCTGACACAGCTTGCTGTCCTATCTGTTCCTTGTTCTCTGTCAGCAATACACCTCCGGCTCAGCCTTGTACTGCCCCAGCCTTTCCATCCCACCAGGTCAGCCAGCCCCTGTCACACTGCAGCCTACTGGTCCAGCCTGACCCCCATAAATTCTCCATGGCCCACCCCTACCCTGCAAGCCTCCAAATAGCTCACCATCTCTTCCTCATGCAAGGCCCTGTCCACCTTGTCTCAGGTGAGAGTCCTACTGCCTCTAACATAGGCCCAGTTGCTTCTTCTCCTTGGGGTCCTACCCAGGACCACCCAGCTAATTCCCTCTTGGGGGTCTATTTGGGAAACTTCTTGGGGAACGAACTGAAGCCAAACCCCTCTTGACAGTGTCTGCCTTCAACTTGTCTGTCAAACATGGTCAAGGGCTCATCCCCCATCTCTCTTTGGTGCCCTAGGTCTGGTATTCCCTCCCAGCACACATGGCTGCTCCCGTACAACCCTCAGTGGTCTGATGATGGGGCCCAGCCTGGCCACACACTTCCAGTCTCCCACCTGCTCCATTGGCTTTGCTCAGCTCAGCCTCTCTGGCACTACTCTCTGGCACTACTCTCTGCACTACAGCCTGCAGAACCTCTCTCTGTTGTCCTGAAGGCCCCTGAGCATGGCCTTCAAGCCCCTGCCTTTTGGCATTTCCCTCCTCCTCTCCATGCCCCATGAGTCTGTTTGTCTTGCCAACATACATCCTCTCCTTCCCCGTGCCGCTGTGCATCCCTGCTTGCTGCTGCACCCCAACCCCCATTCTTCCATCTTCATGCTGCAAAAGCCAGCTCAGAGGCTACCCAAGCCTTGCGAAGCTTCCTCACATTCTATCTCCCACCACTTCAGACCATCCATGCAACCAACCCAGAGCACTAGTCTAGGTACATCCAAATACCCTAGAGAACTTTCCAGAGCTAGATTCCCCAAGCCCACCCCTATGTAATAGGATTCTGCAGGGCTCAGTGAGGTGGCACCAAAGAAGTCCATGTTGAAAGAGTTCCCCAAGGGCCTGAGGGTTTTCTCCAGCTGGAACCTACCCCAGCTTGGCCAGGAAAGGACTTCTAGGTCTGCATCTGGTAGTGTCACCTCAGTCCAGAAGAAGGGGAGCAGCCATTGGAGCCATGGCCTGAGTCTCCTCTCCCAAATGGGAATGCTAATGCCTCAAGCACAGTGCCTGAGACAGGCCAGGAATGCAGCACAGATAGTTTTTTCTTATTCCTTGCAATGTAGATTTATGTGCTAAATTTAAAACATACCAAAGTTAGAAAACAGCCCTCACATCCTCTCCAGTGCCCATGTGGCCACTCAACTGTGCCATCTAGGAGACTGTGGTTATGAGTTCTCAGGACACCCTGCCCTGTTCTGGCCCAGGCAGGCACTTGTCTGTCATACTTCAGTTCCAATGCAGATTGCAGAGCTGGCCTGAGCTAGGGAGGGGTACAGCAGGACCTGGCTCCTCATTGGCTCATTTCCCTGCTGATAGCTTTTCTACCAGCTGAGACAGCAGCCCTGCCCTCATATGAGGTGTCAGTGGTAGCCTGGTCACCTGTGTGTGTGTGTTGTATCTTTGTGTGCTTGTGGGTTCCTGGACCTGCCACTGCCACCTGGTTACCAGCAGTGGGTCCCATCACTTGGAGTCTTGGCAGTCCATGCCATTCTGACTAAATGGTTGTCTGTGCCCATATAGATGCTTTACAAGTGAGGAAATGGGGCCCCAAGGGAAGAACCTGGCCCAAGGTCACCGATTGAGAGCCAGGTCTGACCAGGGCCCAGGCCTCTGTGCCTTCCCCCCAACACACTTTATTCTGTTTAATAAAGTCACTCTCATTCCTCCATGAGCTCTTGACACCTGTGGCTTTTCGATTTGGCTTTGTCATGTCAAATTCACCATGCCTCTAAAGAATGCTTATTTCAGCTCAGTTGTTTAAGAACATCTTCTCCCTTTGATGCAAAATACATGCTTGAAAAACAGAAATGAAGCCTGGGAGAGGCCCCACAGATTATGTGTAAACCCCAAACCAAGAAAAAGAGTTTCTAGGCAGCCAACCCCAGATTTCTGGATTTTGTGAACCACGGAATTGTTCCCCAGGTTTCAGAGGCCTGCACAACTTTTTCTGTTGCTAAGTAACCTGCTACCTGCTCTCACACCTGTTTCATACTAACATATCAATATACCAGATGGTAGAGTGTCATTGCAGAATAAAAGGAAGTCCTTCAAATCCAGAGCATGGAGCTTTTTGAATGTTCATGATATGATCTGTTTTTTTTTTTTTTTGCATTCCATTATAAAACAATGAGAAGCAGCAGCAACAACTAAGCCTTGTTCCTGGCCTGGTGCTTGGGCTTCCCGTGGTAGTGGTGGGGTGATGATGCCACTATCTTCAATGATGCGGTTATCCTTTGGGGACACCGTATGGAGCCAGGAAAAGCCAATGTGAATTTGAGAAAGAAGAGCATGTTTCCTTTCCCTCTTCAGTTTTGCTGCAGAAACAGTCCTCTCTTGAGAGAGACCTGTCTCTATAGCCTAGAAACATTTAAATCTGAGAGGAGACCCCCACAAGAGATCCCGACGCCATCTCATCGATCATCTGCCTTCCATGTGCTGATTCACTGCGCGGTGCCACCCACCATGTGCGCAGTACACGTTCCTCACGGCTGCAGTCACAGCTCTGAGTTTCCCTTTCTCCCAAGGGAGCCAGCGGGTTGTGCTGTGTGAAAGGGGCTCTGGGTAGGTGGAGTCGAGGGGTGATGAGTCTTTTCCGCAGTGCGTCCAAGGTTGAAATGGCATCCATCTGCATTTTGGTTGGGGAATTCTGAACACTCAAGCTGCCTTCTTCTGAGAAGCCCTGGCCCGAGTCAGATGCTCAGTCAAATCTGGTGGCCACTAATGGCCACTGCATAGCCTCTGCAGGGATTGAGGGTGGGCGGCTCCCTTTCATTGGCCTAGAGCAGGTAGCAAGGGTGCTTTGGGCTCCAGAAATGCATGCTGGCTTTGCTGCTCATGTCATCCGGTAAACCACATGGTACTTTCCAGAAATCAGATCCACCCTCCAAGGCCAAAGATTCTCCCCAGTGAGGTCATTCCCAAACAGGTGGCCATGACTGTGCTAGGCTTCTGGTCTCCCAGAGTCTGGGCATGTGGTCTTTCAGTGGGTGGACACTTGATGTGGCCAATCAGCTGAAGTCCCTTGCACTGCTTATGTCTGATCCACCCCAAGCCCCAACTCAATAAATAAAAGTCCCAGGCAAAGACAGGGTTGGAGGTCATCCTGTGGGGTTTATCCACATTGCTCTCCTATAGGTCTCACTTTCCACAGACCCACTTCCCTTTCAACTTCTAGGAAGCTTCAGGGTGGAGACAAAGTAGAAGCCATGCCATCTTTGCTTCCCAGTCCTCCTATCCTAGGAGGCTGTGGGTCTGTGGGAATTGAGTCATGACAAGACCAAGTGTGTGCTTTGGGAAATGCCTTCCTCCTCCGTCTAAATCCATTCTTCTGCTTGAGGGTGCTAGTTACCTGGATGAGCTGCAGAAGCTAGGGTGATGCCCCCACCCAGTGGAGAGGCCTCTTCCTAATGGGAGCATGTCATGTCCCTCAGGTGTGTTGGGGCGGAAAGAAAGGTTGAGAACTGCCGAAGTAGGATAACAAAGTATTGGCAGACACAGGTACTGACTGATGAGTGGCTTGCAATGAGCATATCGTGATTGCAAATGACTACTTCCAAAATGTTTGCAGTGTGCCCTATCTGTAACCTGTCCCTCCCAATCTGATGACCACTAATCATTTGCCCAGCAAACCCTCTCTTTGTCATGGCCTGGTCAAAAGCATCAGCAGCTCCCAGTGAGTGGGGCTGACCTAGCTGAGGCTTTGCTGTCACGATATGTCCCCAGTGTGGCCCCTGTCCTCGCCCAGCCCCACCCCCTGCGGTAGCCTGGACCGCAGTACAAGCCAACCTTTATTTCGTTTTCTCTCCCACAGATGGAGGTAGTGAGTACCTTCAAGAGAAGCGGGTCATTTCAGGGTGCTGTGCGCCGGCGGTCTTCGGTCCTCAGCCAGCTCCATGACGTAACCAATCTTTCTACCCCTACTCACGTAACTCTCTCTGCCGCCAAGCCCACCAGCGCTGCTGGCAGTGAGTCTTGACTTCCCTTTTCTCTCATAAATGGCATCTCGGGGGAAGATAAAGCCTCCCCAACTCTGCCTTCTCTTTTTTCCAGTCTTGCACTTCTGCTCACCGTGGCTTTTCCGTTCCTTCTTTACTGCCCTGTCCAGTCCTTCCCGCCAGGCGGTGTGTCTCTCCAAAGCCATATTCTCTTATGAAATGTGCCGAAGCCATGGCACTGCCGGGCCTACCGTCCTTTGCTTTGTTTGATTTTTTGGTTTGTGTTTAGTGCTCCTTCTGCCATTGGTTTTCTTTTCTTGACCTTATCTGTATGTGCCGATGGTTCTTCATGAACTTGGGCCTCTTCCAGTAGTGTCTGACACCAGGCTGAGGCCTGGCTCCGTGTTCTGTGGGGAGTTTCAGGGAAGTATGTGTCTCAGGGCCAACCTCCTGGGGCTGGAGTAGGAGGTAAGTGCCGCCATGTGGCACCATTTGCAGCAGAAGAACCCAGCCCACCTCCTGGTGGACTAAAACAGTCATGTCCAGCATTCTCCTGGAGGTGGCTTCCAAAGAATGCCACTATCGCCTGTCCCCAGGCAGGCTCAGTGGTGGTGATGTGCTCCTTTGTAGGTGGCCAGACCCAAGCCAGACCCAAGCCAACAGACATTAGAGGTGTTTGGAGAACTGGAGCTCAGAGGCCAGGAAGACACGGAGGGAACCACATTTCCATTGTTCCCAAAGCACCTTTGCTCTCTCCAAACAGGCCCCAGGAGTGGAAGGTCTTAACCCACTGGTCCATGCTCGCTCCTCCTTCTTCCAAGAAGCCAGGAGAAATCAATTCCCATCGGTACATTTCAGTGAAAAGGTCCATTGTGTTGCTCACATTTTAGAGAACCCAGGGGCCATCCTAAGTAGGTAGAAACTTCCATAATCACTCACATTTTTTACAAAGACAAAGGAAAGGCCACTAGACTGCTGAACCTGCCACCCTGGTTCACCCAACAGGAGAGACCACGGGAACCACGTGAGGTCCCCCATTCCCACCCAGGCAGCCTGCTATTTGTAACAAACTCAGGAGATTTCAAAACCAAACAGTAAGCCTTCAAACTATGATCCCACAGCCCCTGACGGGATGGTTGAATGCTACCTCTTCCTTGCCTTCCAGGGAAGCCCCGCAGCTCCCACGCAGACGCGAGTCCTTAACTATGCCTTTTTCTCATCACAGACTCTTCGAGTTTCTTTTTGCTTGATTTCTTTCTTTTCTTTTTTTTAGGAACCCGTGAGAGGTCCCCGGTGGGGGGCACCCTCCTCTTGCTTAAGCTGTCCTTTAGGGCCACCCTGGGGAACAGTACAGGCGTGCGTGCACACACACCCCTTCTCCAAACCACAGGCCACATACCCTTCCAGTTTGTTGATACGCCCACTGGACCACCCACCTGGGTCAAAAATATTGGCTGAAGCCCATCACCCTTGAGTTGGAAAGCAGCCAGCGCTCCTGGCACACACAGTCAGGGGCCCCAAAGGGCCTCAACTCCACCCCACCCAGAGAGGCCATCAGCAGTCTCTGCCAAGTCAGTTAAGGACAGAAATGATGTGTGGTCTCCCAAGCACACTTTGACCAGGGCCCAGGTGGGCAACTGCACATTCCTTCCTGGGATGTGAAGGGCAAAGGTGGGTGCAAGTGTCCCCAAAGGACACATGTAGATCTGCCCTGTCCTTTCCTTCCCATTGACTTCCTACATATTTTCCTTTGTCTTCTCTGCATTTCCTGTCTGTCCATCTGCCCACATGTCGACTTGGGGGGGGAAGGCAGCTGGCAGAGCCCTACTCCACACAGCCCTCACACATTCTCCACAGCTCTGGCCTTGTCCCAACCCAGGGCCAGCCCAGTCTCTGTGGACCCCCTCACCCACCTCCAGTCTCTGGAGTGAGGCATGCTGTCTCTTCCCTTCCTCTGAATTCCTCCCACTTCCTCCCTGGGGGCAGCCTCTCTCTCTCTTCTTCCTTGGCTCTCAGCACCTTGCTTCTTTCCTTTCTTCCATGAACATCTGTCCCCCTCCTTCCCATCTCTGGAGCCCAGCAGTGCCCGGTAAGTACAGTGGGAGAGATGCCACCCTCCCGCTGTTCACAAGCTATTCCGGGGGGGGGACCCAAGCAGTGGCAGCAAGGGTTGGGTGGCAGGGCCTTCCAAGGAGGGTATTGGTATGAAGAAACAGGGGTCCCAAAGTCCCAACTGACAAAGGCTGGCCTAGAAATCTCAGCCCTGTTGAGCAGCAGCACCTCAAAAAGGACTGTGAAGGAAGATGCTGGCTCAGACACCTGGCAACTCCAAGGGGGAAGCTTCTGGAAGCTACTGACTAAAACCACTTCCTGCCATCATCACCTGTGGCAGACTGGTTTAGAACTCAGAACCTAACCCCCACCCTGACTTACAAGGACCCCAGGAAATCACTGAGCCCAGCACCTTCATCTTACAAATCAGGAGAAGGCAGGTGCCCACAAGGGCCAGGACCTACTCAGGGTCCCTTAGGCTGCCAGGCCTGGTAGAGAGGGGACTAGCCCCAGCCCCCCTTCTGTCCTTAGAACTTTCCAGAGGACCAGAGCTGCTCAGAAGGAAAGCAGGCTGAAGGCCATGACAGAGCTCCCCTAGACAAGAGGCAGCATTGTACAAGGTGTTATGGTCACAGGCTGAAAGTTTCCATAAGTCACACAGTTTCCAAAGGAAAACCATGGCTCCATACATGAGGAATTCCTACCCGCTTCACATGCTCCAGGCAGGTCTTCCTTTTAGCCCCGCAAGGAGTCAGGACTGTGCCTGCAGCTCTCAGAGCACTGGAGGGGCCTGAAGTTCAAAGTCCTTCCCACTAAGGACCCTCAGGCTCTCCAAGGAGAAGGGACACACCCTGTGCCCTCAGGGCCAATGAAAGAAGTGGCCAGAGGATGTCCTCCAAACCAGAGGGTAACCGGGATCCTGGGGGCTTAGTACACCTCCCCACACGCCTCTGCTGCTTCTGCAGGCAGCAGTCCTCACTCAAAGGATTGTCCAAACACACCACTGTCACATCATATTACAAATGATGTAATCTGCTGACTCCTAGCTATGACCTGTGACTCCTAGCTCCAGCGTAGCTTCTGTAGCTTCCTCCCAGCTGACAGCCACTCCTCCTCCCAGCCCAAGGTGGAGTGTGGAGTGTCTTTCCCTCCACTGCTGCCACCTCATTTCACATTACCTGGGCCATGACCCTGAGACCAGCTCATTGGGGTGGCTTAGGAAATTAGGGGGCTGTGAAATCCTGTTCCCAGTTGGGGTATCAGTCCCACCTCCAACTGTGCACTCACAAGCTAATGCAGTGGGAAGCCCAGCATCTCTTTTCCAATTGGTGTCAATATCCCCAAAGTGTGGCTGGAGATGGTATATTGAAGTAAGCCCAGGGCACTGTAATCTTCCTTGTGGTACGAACAGGTGGCTGTGGGATCTTTGGGACAGCAAAGCCAGGTCCTGGTACCAACAAAGCCTCTCTGTGGGCTCTGTAGCCAAGGATCCTTTTTCTTTGTTTTCCATGGCAACAAGCAGACACATCTCGGCCTCCCTGCAGCCACATCCAAAGTCTGTTCTGTAGCACCTCATGCTGATGGTCCTCCCATTCCTACTGATAGCCAAGTCCATTCCATCCTTCCTGCAGCAATGCTGGGCCTCTATACTTGAACTGTCACTATTGTAGTAGTTCAGGAGTTGGCTCCTGACTTGGTCCAGCAAAGGGACAGGGCTGGTCAGTGGGTTTGGTCCCATGTACACAGAGAAGCTTACTCTGGGCATTTAGTTCTGATTTGCCAAGTGGAAACAGATCACATCAATTGCTTTATTTTTCTTTTGCAACATGAAAACCCTTTTTCCCGTTGGGTCAAACTGGGCTAGATAAGCTGCCACTGCTTCACTTGGACATACTTCTCCAGAACCCATGGAAGCATGCTCATCTCACACTCATAGTCCCATGGTGGAAGGAACTGGCAAAGAAAAAATAGTCTTGCTTTCTGGAATTTATTGTCAGGAAGTTAACTGATGTTAAGCCAAATGTCCCCACTTGGGTTTCTGTGAATAGTATACTGAAATTTTTTCTTAGCTATCTGACATTGTGCATACTGCCTCCACAGTGGGAAATAATCAGGCCCCCAATGGGATCCTTTCCCTGCCCCACACCTCTCTGGAACCCCAGACCCTACCACAGTGGAACAACCCTGCAGGCAATTCCTAAAGCACACACCAGAACCAACCTAGGGAAAACCCTGGAAGACCTCATGAGCTCATGAGATTTTTTTTGAGGCCTTGCAGCTGGATGCAGCTGGTAATAGAGGCAAGGGCTTCCTTCCAGTTCCTCATAGTCTGACTACCTGAAAAGCCTGGGCTCAACTGTTGATTTCAGGAGCACAATCCTGGGATTTCATGGTCCTGGTCTTATGTGTGCATAGAAAGGGAGGCAGTTTTCACAAAACTCACCAGCAACATACAGAAAGCCATATCTTTAGTTTCTGGTGTGATCGCTTGGTGAAATGGCCAACTTTGGAGTTTGTATTTTCATTTTCCTGATTCAAGCACACAACCCCTCCACAGGGAAGAAAGGGACCTTCCCCTTGCTGTTGCTGTTCCCCCAACACAGAGAAGTGAGGCCAAAGCTCAACTTTTCTAAATTTCCAGGCTTTCTGAGTTTGGCTTCTCATGTCCCAGATGGCAAGGCAGCTGACAAGTCCTTGCTTTCCAACAAAATTCTGGACTAATGGTTGGTACAGCAGTAGAAAGGCAGGGGAGAAGTTCAGTCAGAAAAATCTGAGCTCCATGAGCCTTAGAGGCTGACACCAAGCAGCACCCCAGCAGCTCAAGGAATTAGAAGAGGCGAGAAGGCATCAGGCAGTTTCTGTTGTTACTGTCGTCACTGTGGTTCGGAGGCCTTTGCTTTTATTTCTCTTCTTTTCATTTTCTTTTCCATTCTTTTCAATGGGGTGGGCATTCCCTCAGTCCCTTGCCTGTCTAGTCCCTCGCTTTCTCTGCTTCTGCATCCCTGCTCCACCCCACCCACCCCCACATCACAAACCCCAGCACTTGAAGGCCTAAGCAAGTTGTGCCCTAAGTGGGGTGCCTCCACACTGAGCATCCACCAATGGGATTGCATGCTTCCCTTATGCTGCAGCTTAGGGGGGCTGTGGGGGGCTTGGTCTGCAGCATCACAGCTGGGTAAGGCTCACCTCATTCATCCAGGTCAGCTGCCCACCAAGCTCCACGAGCCCTGTTGTCTAAGGCACACAGAGACACTGGAGTTTCCCCTGGGCAGATGATCCCAAGCCTCAGAAGGAAAGAGCAGAGAGGAGAGGCATGAGAAGTGCTCTTCTGGGTCCCAGGTCATCTGGGACAGCCTCTGCGAGAATGGTTATTTCAGCTGGGTTCTGTCTGGAGGAAGAACAGTCTAGGGCAGGAGTCACAAATCAGCAGGGGTAGGGGCTTCTGCTGGGGTGCTCTGGAGCAGCTCCAGCTAGCTAGTTATGGCAAAGTGTGGGAACAGCCTCAGGTAGGGGGAGCCAGGGGCCAGTGGGGTGAGTCCCAGACATTGTGCACCTGCTCACTGAGCCCCTGCTGGGTGCAGGCACTTTGCTGGGTGCTGGGGCCATCACAGAAGGCCACAAATCCCTCTCCCAGGGGACTTATGCTCCAGTGGAAGGAGACAGGAGAGACAATGTGGGGGGCATGTTTGAAGGGGGAATGGGCAAGGGAGTAAGGGAAGCCAAAGTGGGTGCAGGGGTGCTGAAGAGGCAGGAGGGGCATCCTGAGTCTTACTGAGGAAGAGCCTTCCTGGAAGAAGGAAGAGTCAGTGCAAAGACCCTAAGGAAGGAATGTGCTAGAAGCTGAAGGGCGTGAAGGGTAACAGAAAAAGCGAGTCTGAGGCAGTGCTGGGGCAGGACTTCTCTCCTTCCTCTGCAGGAAACACAGCTTTGGGAGGCTTTGCATTGATGGAGGCTTCCATTGGAAAGGATTTCTCAGACTGCTATGCTGACGATAGACTGTGGGGGTCAAGGGTGGCAGCAGGGAGATGAGGGAGGGGACCCTACAACAGCCAGTGTGTACCTGGTGTGGTGGTGGCTGCAGTGGTAGTGGAGGGGTGTGAAGTTGCATTCTGGATGTTATTTGGAGGGAGCAGTAGAATTGGTGAGGGCTGGGCCTGGAGCTTTGGGGTCAATTAAGTTTGAGACTTGGCTTAAATATCCATGTCTGAAATTGCAGAGAAAACAGTGGTTGGCAGATAGATGGATGGGAGGCCACAAGGGGGTGACAGGGAATGGTCAGGGGAAGGGGGCTGGCAAGCAGGCTGAAAAGGAGCTGAGGGGAGGAGCATCATTGAGTACCCTACTGTGTGGGGGACTGCTGGGGCATGGGAGGAAATAAAGTATCAACCTTATCAAGGCTACTGGCTATAACTGGGCATGGAAAAATGGGGCAGTAACTGGAAGGGACTGCAGGAATGAGAGGGAACAAGTGACCTAGACAAGGGCAGCAGAGTTGGCAAGAGTGACAGCCCACCTTACCCCCCTCTGCATTCCCAGAAGCCTCAGCCCTGACCCTAGGACTCATCTTTCCTGGAGTCTGTTTTATTTCTTTTCTTTAAAGGTTATCCTGTAGAAAAATGGACTTTGGGGAGTAGATGACTGTGGGATGAAGTCTCCACTCAAAGTGAAGACCCAGGCCTGACCTATCACCTTCTAGAATGTTTGGAGTCAAATGGGGAGTGGCAGGATTTAACTCAGTAGCCAGAGAGTGCCTGAAAATGCCATCTGCAAAAGAGATAGTGCAGGTGACCATAGACTCATCACACCTTAGTTAGGAGCCATGAGACAGGCGCTGAGGAAAGATCAATCCCCAGGCAGACAAGGTCTCTGACCGCGGGGCTTGTGAGTTCCCAGGGGCCTTGGAACCCCAGGTGGGACATGGAGGCAGCAGTGGAGGTGGAGAGGGGCTTGATGTGGAAGACATTTCATGTAAGTAGGGCCCACCAGGCTGCTGAGACAGTGGGGTGGGGATCAAGGTGCCTCCAAGCTTTGGCAGGAAGAGGGCAAGGAGCAATGGGGTAGAGATGAGACAGGAGACATCCAAGGGGAGGCTCCAAGAAGCCTGTGAGGGTGCCAAAGTCTGGCAATCTGGATGAATGTCCCTGCTGCAGGTATACAAGTGGACATGGTGCAGATGGCATTGATGGTGTCCAGATGGTCTGACAGGCTGTAGACAGCACTACCAGCCTTGAAGGTGGCAAGGTTCCTTTGGGAGGAATAGAGATAAGCTAAGGAACGTGCAGGAAGCCAGGCAAGAACCTAAGAAGAAGCCAGTGCAAGCCAAGGTACGGGGCAAGGCTTGGGCCATGCCTTTGCCAGGAACACTGAATTCCATGCCAAGTGGAGGAAGTCTGGGGCCATGGGCTGTCCATGAGCACCTGAGTGCAAGCTCAGTCCCCAAGAGGGGCCTGTCTTAGAAACACTCATTAGTTTTCACTAAAACAATTTCCCAGGAATGGCTTGCACCTTCCAGCTTAGGGTCACCTAAGAACACCCGCATAAAACCAATAAAAAGCCATTTTAGAAGCCCCAGATTTGAGTGCAGGGAAAAGAGGACCTGGACAAAAAGTGACTCACCATCAGCTGTAAGACTCATGATGACTTGAGCCTGCTTCGAACACAACAGCAGAATGTTAGAGCAGGGTGGCCCTCTCATTCCAGGACAGATCCCTCGTTCGCTCCTGTGCTTCCCAAGTGTTGGCTGAGAAAGTACTCCACTGGGCTGTGGCAGTAGGAAGCAAACATGGCAGATTACTCCCAAGAGGAGCACCCTGGACAATCTTTTAGGGCCAGAGCAGCCATCGCTATAGAAGCGGAAGCAGCAGGCAAGGACTGTCCTATGGCCTTGGCCGCCCTTTGTGGGGGAGGGCTTTGGAGTTCAGCCAGGTGCAATGAGACCTGTGGATAGGTTTGAGCAGGGGCCTGGCCTGATCATATGACCCAGATCCAAATAAGGCCTCCTGCTCAGCAAGGAAAAGGGTGTTGCCAAGATCATGGGTGCATTGCTGGCGAACTTACTAAGCACATCCCCAGGATCAAGGGCACCAGTGTTCAGCTTTTTCTCTTTTCTGTGACTTAATAGGTGTCCCTGGCAGCTGGAGAAGGTAATGTCCTGAGCATCAACACTCCAGTCCTGCACCAGAAATCCTAACTAACAAGGAAATATCTAAATTGGCTATAAAAAGTAAATTATAATCTTTTTATTAACAATGTCAAATGGGCCTCAATTTCTGTGATACCCCTATTTCAGAAACCAGTCTGGGATAAAGACCTGAGAGAGAATGGCTGACCATCTGCAATCTGGCAGATGTGGCTTCACCAAGTCCAGAGAAAATCCTCACTGGATTTCAACAGGGAGTTAGAAAACTCCCGTTTTATGGAACATTTTGGCTCCACTTTTTTTTGCAATGCCCAGACTCCAAGGTCTGCCTCCTTTAAACTGATTTAGGAGCTCTGTGCTTGCCCTGGCTGAGCTATAGGCCCCAAGGTCCAGACTCTGGGGGCTGAAAGGGACTCATTGTAGTCAGGGTGATTCATTGTCTAAACTAGGGACTGGCCAACTGTTCAGAGAGTAAATATATTTAGCTTTTGGGGCCAGGTCTCTGTCGCAACTACACAACCCTGCTCTTGTAGCTTGACAGAAGCTGTGGACAGAACATAGATGAATGCCCATGGCCACTTGCCAATAAAAACTTATTTATAACCCTAGCAGAGCACTGGGGTTAACCCTCTGACTGTAGTTTGCTGACACCTTATCTAAAGCAAGAAAACCAAATTCTAGGACCTTGAACTTGGAAATGACATTAAGAACTTATAATATGTCCACTCCCTCACATAGGAAGGAGCTAACTGGGGCCAGGCAGTGTCCTACCTAGCAGGACAGCACTCTTCCCACTGCCCCCATAGAAGGGCGGCTGGACTGGCTTTGCTTATGTTGGCTTGTACAAGGCCTGACAGAAGCCTACCTATCAACTTCTGGCTTCTAGAAGCTGGAGGGAGACCAGCCTGGGAATCCAGCAAGGGGTCAAAGACAGGCAGTGGTCCTGTGGCTCATAAAACTGATGAGACTTGAGTCCATTGTAAGTAAAGATAGAGAGGTCAGAAGAGGGAGAAGCTAATTGTCAGAGCAGAGTCCTGCAGGAGATGCAAGGGGCTTTGCTGAGGGCTGAGGGCTCCAGTGGCTGGCTATGACAAAGTCCAAGGATGTCTGCATGGAAGAGTGAGGAGGAGGAGGAAGAGGGCAGAGTGTGAGAGAGGTTGGAGGGGAAGGTGGCAGTAGATTACAAAGGACTGCTGGTGGTCCCAAGCATGCAATCAAACCCAATCAGATACATCTAGCTGCTGCATGGAGCTGTGAGGAGACCACAAGGACCTCTGTAGTAGATGGGGAAGCCTGGACAGGGGTGGGTGATATATTGCAAATCAAAAGTGTGACCATTTTCACTCTTGGCCCCAGATTGGGGACTGACAGGCTCTCAGGCCTGGAGCTCTGATGAGGGGCCTATGCCACAGTCCCTGGTTCTAGTCAGATGGGCCCCAGCTCTGTGGCCAGGGTGGGGAGATATGGACAGAGGAGCAGGGAGAGGCCAAAGCTCTGGGGAACCCTAGGACAGAAAAGGGAGCAATAGAGGATGTGGGGCCAGAACAGCTGGTAAGGTAAAAGAAGGTCAACAGGAACAGTGTCGGGGAAGTTTCCAGAAACAAACAGGAGGTCAGCTGTGTTGAGTGTCCCTGAGGGATCAATTAAGATTAAGATACAGAAGTGGCTGCTGGACTTAGCAGCAGGGATTGCGGTGACCAGATGTGACTGGGCATGGTGGGTCTTGGCTGCAGCCACAGAAGCCACTGTGATGGAGGTGAGGGAAGATTATGAGGGAGAACCATTCCAGAAAGGCCAGCAAAGCACATAGGCTGGGATCTCTCTCTTATCAGAAAGTATTTAATTCTTTCAGGTAAGACACAGTAGAGAGCCCACTCTCCAGAAGTCTCCCTTTTAAAAATCATTCTTTACTACCAAATTGAAATTCAGACTGGACAGACCCCAGGAACCACCTAAACTAGTCCTGCTCCTAGATCAAGAGCAAAGTGTTCTAGAACATCTGCCCAGGTCAGCCATGTTTCCTGCATGGAGATCACTTAAGACCAAGGCCCAGACCTGCAAGCCCTTTCCACAATGCCAGCCCCATTCTGTGTCAGCCTCCCCCCCCCCATGGATGAACATTTATCATGCGATGACCCCCAGCCATTGATGTGGGCAGAACTTGGCAGCACCAGCCATCCATTAATTGTTTCCTTTCCTTTCCCCCCTCCCTGCTCCCACCTCTGCCTTTCCCTCCACCTCCCACTCCAGATCCGGGTGGTGAAAGCCTTCCGTAGCTCACTCTATGAAGGCCTGGAGAAACCGGAATCCAAGAGCTCCATCCACAACTTCATGGCAACGCCCGAGTTTCTGATCAATGACTACACCCACAACATCCCGCTCATCGATGACACAGATGTGGACGAGAACGAGGAGCGCCTGCGAGCACCCCCACCCCCAGCCCCCAACCAGAACAACAACGCCATAGACAGCGGCATCTACCTGGCCACGCATGTCACCAAGTCAGCTACCTCTTCAGCATTCTCTTCCAGGCCCGGGAGCCCGCTCCACAGCGTGGAGACGTCCCTCTAACCAGAACTTCTCTCGGCACATGCACACTTGGACTCACATGCAGTCACACGCACACAGTCACGCACACACACACTGGGGGGGGGGGAGCCCACACACCTGCCAAAGAGGGAAACGACTAAGGTGGCTGAAGAATATTCTTGTAAGAAGCCAAATCCATCCAGTAAGGTGCAGTCCGTCAGGCCTTCCACCTGGGACAGAGGAAGAGGAGAAGGAGGGAGTAGATGGGCAAGTGGAGGAGGAGGGGGAAGGTTCTTCACCCAGATGGGAAGAAGGAGAAAGGAGAGAGCAAGAACAGCTGTGCTCCCCACTTTTTTTCTACCAATCCTTTTTTAAAGAACACTACAATTTCACCATGTGTTCGCCATTTTGGCTGTGAGGTGGGAGCAGGGGCTGGTTTTGGTTTATTGGGAGCTTCATTGCACCCACCAGCAAGCAATCAGATCTGCATACCCCCACCAAAAAAGGCCAGCGCTCTGCAGGGTCAGGAAGGGTGCCACTGCCCAGACAGGCCACCGGAGGGAGCCGCCTGCAAGTGTACCTGCAACTGCAAAGCAACTCATTCTGAGTACACTAGACCCATCTGCAGTCCCTGCGTGTGCTTGTGCGTACATATGTATGTGTGTGTCTATATGCATATACATATATATGACAAGATGCATATCTAAAGAATAAGGAACTATTGGCATGATATTTCCATTCCTCTTATTAAGTGTTTTCCTTTTGAAATTTCATTTCTGAATGTAGCAAGGTTTTTTCAGGGAACTAGGCTGCAAGAATATGTTCTCAGTTAATATCTTTTCTTCCCTAACTCCTGGCCCCTCAGGACCCCACCCCCACCCCACTGCTTCTCCTTCCTAGCCCTGCCGAGATTCCCAAGGAGGAAGTCTGGGGAGGGATGCTCGAGGCCTGGAGGCCTTACAATTGGAACATTTGCACTTTGAGACCCCTGCCTATAGAGGAGAAAAACCTTTCAATGGGATTTTTTATTTAAAAGGAAAATACCAAAGTATTGATGAGAATGGACCCCCTCCAGTAGGTGGAAGGGGAATTTTTGTTTTGGCTTCCTTTGGTTTTGATTCCAATTCCAAATCCTTCATTCTGGCTGATGGTTTTCTTTGTCTAACTCCTACTTCAAGAGCATGAAGCACTGTGTGTGAGCTGTGGGTTCTACAGCCCCTGACCCGTCTAACCCAATGGGTGGACCCAGAGTCCTTGGGAGAAGCCCTGGAAGAGCAGAGAGTGATGGCCCCCAATGCAAGACCAGAGTCCAACAGAAAACAACTGAAGAAGAGGGATCATCAAAACCCAAGAAGCTGGGCTGGAGGTATGGCTCAGTGGCAGAGGCTGGCCTAGCATGACAAGACCCAGCACCAAACCAAACAAAAAAACTCAAGAAGCTGACTTGAGGGAAACCATCCAGACCCCATCACCCTTGACACCACTGCCTGGGCTCCCACTCTGTGTTTTGGCAAATGCCAGGAAGCACTCACTGGCCCGCCTCAGTGTCTCAGTGTCTGCTGCAGCACGGGTAGTGCCCCCCTGCCAGAGCACTCTCCCAATCCTGGTCTTCTCATCCAAAAGAAAAACATAACCCACAAAGGCATGGATCTGTGTCGCTGCCACTTCCGGCAACATTAGAGAAGCAAAGCCTCTTGGAGCAATGGCATTTTGTCAGTGTTGCTGTCAGTCTCATCATGCCAGTGATTCAACTGGGGCCATAGTGGTTGAACAAGGGGCAGGCAGGGCTCGGGACCATCCAGGCAGGCAGGGCTGGTCAGCAGGCCAGGAGAGCTGGGCCTGGGGTTCCTGAGATGGGTTCCCCAAGCGTCTCTCCTGGCAAATGCAGGCACCCAGCACACCAAGCCTCGTATTCCCCTAAAGAGCGATAACCCAAGAGGAAAATGCAGGGAACTCAGGAGTGAGAGGCTCCTGATGTCTGGGACAGATGCGCCCCTTTCCCATGGAAGGCCAACACCCCCCTGTGCCTCCAGGTTCCAAGTGTGGACACCCACAGTGACACCAGTGAAATGGGCAGCACTTTACCCATGAGGTTCCTTTACCTTCTGAACTCACTGGTGTCACCCATCACAGGGAGGTAACTGGGGTCTCACCACAGACCCCACATAAGCCTATTGCTTAGGGCTCAGCATCCGGGACACAGGTGGAAGCCAAGGGGTGTACAATGAGAATAAATGGAGCTCCCCAGGGAGCTGGGCCTGTCACACCCCCATCCTGTACTGGAAGCCCAGTGGTAGCCTTGCCTCACCTCCCCAGCATCCATGCAAATCCAAAAGAAAACATGCTCTGCCCCAGCATTCACACTAATGCCATGTCACCCCTGAGCAGGAGTAGTCAAATCTCGGGCAAAAGAATTTCAGTTAGAAGAGCAAATCCCACTTTCCAATGCCAGCTGCGGATACCTTAAAGCCATCCCTTTTTTCTAAAGGGCACATTGAGAATGTTACTCATTTGTAAATTGTTCCCTGATGTCCTTGTTCAAACCACCACAACAAAAAAGGGCAACTCAATTTGTTGAGGGTCTTTGTGTTCTTCAACAAGAAATAAAATTTGAAGCGTTTTGGTTGAAGAAGGTCAGCTGTATATGGCCACACTCATGGGCTTCTTTTCATCCTCTGTTGTAGACACATCGGTAGAGCAAATGGCCACTATATATTAAAAAGCAAACCCTCACTGCTGCTGTGTAAAGTTGCCTGATGTAAATGTTGACTGTGTGGTCCCTCGGTTGCCTTTGCGCTGGGCTGTGGGGTTCAGGAAAGGGGCACTGTGAGCTTGCATCTTTTGCTCTGATTCTTGTACAGTCTTCAGGCTGAGGGAAGCCCCTCTTTCTAAAGCATTATATTATATGGAATGGCTTGGTCAACTGTGTTCAGTTAATAAATATGTTTTACATTTTTATCTGCCTGTTATAAAGATAAACAAAAATATCTTAATGAGGAAGACCACAGATGCATAATAATTTTATGTCTGTAGTGGAATTTTTCCTAATTTAAAGAATAGAACAAAATTTCTGTGTATAAAAAAAAATGAAAGGCTCCTACAATCCTGGTCTGGGCAACATGTGTGATTTATTATTTGCTGAATTCTCTCTCGGCGGAAGCAGAGATATGTTCACGCGACTGGGCCAGAGCGGAAGCTGCGGGTGTGGCATCTCTCCCCAGGTATGCTTGCTGTCCTGTGGGGTCCTTGTCAAGAAGCAGCCGGTCCACCTATGGGATGAGAGGTGTTCTACCTGTGGGAACTTCCAACTGGCTTGACCATCTTGACTTCTTTTCTAGTTCTAGGGATAGAACCCAGGGTCTCATACATGCTATGTAAGTGCTCTGCCACTGAGCCATACCCCAGCCCTTAAACCATTTTTTAAGCACACAGGTCAGTGGCTTTGAGCACTTCCCATAGTATTGTGTAAACATCCACCATCCATCTCCACACCTGTTCATCTTCCCTCACATCATCAAACAAGTCCCAATTCCTCCTCCCCAGCCTCTAGCACCCACTGTCCTATTGTTTGTCTATGAATTTGGCTATAAGACTCTCATCTAAAGCTTCTCGTGGAAGTAGAATCGTACAATATTTGCCCTTTTGTGACTGGCTCATTTCACTGAGCATCATGTTCTCAAGGGTCATCCATGTTGAAGCATGTGTCAGAATTCCCTTCCTTTTCAAGGCTAGATAATAGTCCAATGTATGGACAGACCACATTTTATTTATCCATTCATGGATGGACACTTAAGTTGCTTCAAGCTTTTGAGCATTATAAATAATGCTGTTGTGGAACTGGGTATACACATTACTCTCCTAGACCTTGCTTTCCATTCTATTTGCAGCAGCTGTGCCATTTTACATTCCCATCAGCAGTGCACAAGGATTCCAGTCATAGACTTCCTCTTTACCCAGAAGCCATGAAAGGAAAGTCCTCATTTCACTCATGCATTTACTCCACATGCCTCATTCCTGCGCTCCTCAACTCCCTCTGAATACCCGTGCACATGGACATCTGTGCTTCATAGTGTTCTCTTTAGGCCAGGAAGAGTCAGGCAGACAGTTCTATAACCCACAATTCCAAGTCACCACTGTAGCGACAGTGCTAAGACTCCCTTATCCCATTTCGCTATGTTTCTATTTCCCAGCTCCACACATCTCCGTTTTAGACTTGGCAGCACCAGAGGACACATTTTGCAGGGCAGCAGCCAAGAAAAGAGAAAAAATGGCTTCCAAGCTCCCTCCAACCACCAGAGTCTGTGTTTCTACAGCAGGCAAAAAGACAAATAGCAGAACACCCTTGTTTTATTGCTATGCAAGTACATATTGAACCATGCAGATAAGAAAGTCTAGATTGGCCAAACTCCATATCAAGACAGCTGGCACCATCTGGACAGCCATACCCCTCCCCAAAGAATTGGGAATCTGTGTCTGACTTCTCTTTCCCACAGGTTTCCATGGGGAAAACTCGGTACTTAGCCAAATGGCTTGGGGCAAGAAAGCACTACTGCAAAGGAGCCCTGAGGGTCTGGGAGAGGGCTGCCTGAAGTATCTTGGGGCTGCCGTAGCCAATTTCTACAAATTGGGTGGCAAGGAAAAAAATAGAAATTTATCCTGTCACAGTTCTAGAAGCCTGATGTCCAAGGTCAAAGTGTTGGCAAGGCCAAGCTCCTTCTGAGGGCTCTCAGGGACAATCTGTTCCAAACCTTTCGCCTAGCTTCTGGTATTGCCAGCAATACTTGGTGTTCCTTGGCTGGTAGAGGCATCATTCCAACCTCTGCCTGTGTCTTCATGTGGACTTATCTCTTCTAAGGATACCAGTCCTTGGATTAGTGCCCACCCTAATGACCTCATCTTAATTTCATTACATATGCAAAGACCCTATTTCTAAATAAGGTCAGATTCCTGAATTTCAGGTGTGGGACATGGACAGGTTTTTTTGAGGGACACAATTCAGTGAGTCATAGCCAGGAAGGAAGAGATGGGCCAAGTCTCTACCAACACTTGGTTGCCCTCCTCCTCTTTCCACTGGATTTATAGGTCAAGTAAGACTCGGCCATTGATCACTTTACAGTAATTAAGATACACTCTGCAAAAAGAAAACTCCTAGAAGCTTCAGATTCTAGAATATTTTATCTGAATCTCTCATTGCCGGCCTTTTGAAACCCAAAATAGAGGAAATAGAAGGCTGTGCATCTTTAATCTCTATTATTATTATTATTATTATTATTATTATTATTTGCAAAAGCCTTGGTAATAGGAAAAATAAGCAAACAATTACTTTAATTTTACCATGCATAGAAAAAGGCCTCATGTACTGGGCATGGTAGTGCATGCCTGTAAACCCAGCCACTAGGGAGGCCGAGACAGGAAGATAGCAAATTGGAGGCTAGCCTGGGCAACTTAGCAAAACTCTGTCTCAAAAAAAAAAAAGAAAGAAAGAAAAAGGCCTGAACCACACTGTCCCACCAGCACCGACAGACACTGGCTGAATATCATTTCAGGAAAAACAGACAGGCAAAGTGACAAGCACTGAGCTGATGTGACCAGTAGCACCAATCAAGGCCAGCATGTCCCCAGAGCAGTATAATGGGCACACAAGCTATGGAAAAGGCATTTTCTTTCTTTCCTTCCTTCTCCCTTCCTTCCTTCTTCTTTCTTTCTATACTGGGGATTGAACCCAGGGGCATTCTACCACTGAGCTACACCCCAGCCCTTTGCATTTTTTGAGACAGGGTCTCACTAACTTGCTGAGGCCAGACTTGAACTTGTGATCCTCCTGCCTCAGCCTCCCAAATTGCTAGGATTACAGGTGTGCACAACCTTGCCTGGCTTCTTTTTTAAGATTTTGACACAGGGTCTTACTAAGTTACTTAGGGTCTTGTTAAATTTCTCAGGCTGGCCTTGAACTTGAGATCCTCCTGCCTTAGCCTCCCAAGCTGCTGGGATTACAGATGTCCACTGCCACATCCAGCAATAGGTGGAACTAGCAAATACAATAGGAAACAGATTATTTTCTACAGCCTCAATTTACAGAATGGAAACTGGGAATTTCAGGTGTGGGACATGGACAGGTGTTTTTGAGGGACACAATTCAGTGAGTTCCACAGAGAGAGAGGAACTTGCTAATACTCAATTATTATGAAAGAAAATATGAAGTATTTTGAGGCTGAGCACTCCTGGTGCAGTGTGGTACTCTCAGCTGGGGGTGGGAGGATGCTCCTCCATCTTCCAAGGAGCTTAATTCAACCATCAGCTTCCTCATGATATGCCCTGGGGAAGGACTGAGGAGAGGGGGGAAAGACTGGAACAGAAGTAGAGAGAGCTTTCTAAGGGGTCTGGATATGCCCCATCATCCAGCCCTCTCAGTCCATAGGGGTGGGCTAGACCTTCGGAGAGGCTTTTAATTCCTTGGGGTCCCCTCAAGTTTTGGACTCCATCAAGGCAGCCTGGGCCTATACTTTTGATGTGTCTGTGAGGCCCATATAAGTCAGCAATAAGTATTGGCCAAGGGCAGTGCACCATCAATGGACAGGCAAGGTGCTTGGCAAATAGAAGGCAGAAAGGACAGTCTGGAGCCCTGGTCTATCCTTGAAGGTTTGCCACCCGGGCTGTCCTCCTCCCCTCAGTGCTCAGAACCCCTGCCCTGGGCCCTGGGTCTAGGCTATTGCTGCTACCTTCCAGGGGCTCCAGTCACACTGGACAGATGCAGAAATTACACAGTGGAAAAGGGTATTCTAGGGACAGCAGAGCCCAGAGGAAGTACCACCAGACCCATCTGGAGCAACCTCTCATCCAAGTCTAAAGACTAAGGAAAAACAAAAAATACATGAAGGCAAAGGGCAGGGGCAACAAAGGAAGCCAACTGCAAAGAGCCCAGCATCTTAAGAAGCCAGGGTGCAATGAGAAAAGGAGAGATGGGGATGAGGATGCAACTTTGGAGGTCACTGTCCAGGACACCTGGCCAGAGTCCTGGGCAGCCAGCAGAGGCAGTGGGTTTCAGTGTGCACATCTCCTCTCCCCTTTTCTGGCTCACCTGAAAAGCTGCCTGTGCCTCCCAAACAGGTCAATGGTACATCTCTAAATTGGTGGCAGATGGATCTTCTTCCATTCTGACAGAAGTACAGGACTACTGTCAGGCTCATCATTGTTAGCACACCCCGAAGGAAAGTTAGAGGCCTCACCCTCTCACACATGCCTCTTGAGGCTCTCTCAGCACAAGGCTTGGTGACAAAGGAGGCCACATTTGTATTTGGAAGAATCCAGAAAGATTGCCTCAAAAGCCTGTGTGGTGAGCAACTACACTGTGCCCCAAAGCACTCAGGAGAGTTGTTCCTTAGCAATTTCCTCTTCTATACTAAAAGATGGGCAAGGAGTTTCGCCTGCCTTCTTAGCTGAGATGGTACACAGCAGCTGCTCGATAAACGTTGTAGCATAACCACTTGGTCTCAAACAGACGCCAGGTCAGCCCACTGGGGAGGGCTGTGACATTTGCTCAGCT